ATTAAAATAAGAATTTAGTTCAAAGTGAGAAGGCAAAACAAAGATAGCAAGTGTTTGGATTAAAAATAAAGAATGAGATGGGTTGCCAGAAGTTTCTTTATTGAATAGTCATTTGTTGAGTGCCTATAATTATATTTATTTGATTCTAAGATGTCAGATAATCTATCAGCTTTTTAAAGGAGAAAAAACTCTATGTTAAATGTGTATATCAGTTGTAAGGGGCATTTCCAGAAATGTAAAAATATGAAAATGCTCATTTTATGATACGTGCAAAGCAGTTTGCTAGGACAGAAAGTTCAAAAGTGTGCCTAATAGTCATGGACCTAGCATTACAGAGATTAACTTGGTGAAGTTACACATACATTATACAAATAAATACATAACCATAAAAGTATAATTATAAACTAATGTTGCAAGAAATCTGGGTAAGTTTGTCATGTGTATATGTAGTAAAAATCTGACTTAAAAAAGCTGAAACACAGGGGTTTCTCTAAAACTGAGTTTTATTCTTTATCTTTTGACTAGAGAATACTACAAGGTCAATGAGCTATGAGAACTTCCCTTTCATCTTCTTTCTCCATACATCTCTGAGAAACTTTTCAATCTCTGCTAGAGGTTGTAATCCTGTCTGTCATTCTTCCAGATGACTTACCCACCATATTGGCACCCTGTCTAAATCTTCAGTCAGAACTAGTTTTATGGATCTGGATTTGTACATCTTTACCCCACATTAAGATTTTCATAGCATCTCAAGTTTATTCAAAACTTGTGGTTGAAATCTTTAAGAGTCATGTTAAAGTTACTGTCAAAGAGCACAGCTGTCTTTACTTGCCAGACAAGATTGGCCAGGTGATGTCAATTATTTTACAACATGTTCAGTTAATCAATATGTATCACTTACTATAGTTATGGTATTATGCTGGGGTTGGAGGGATAAAATTATTGCATGTTTTCTACCTTCAAGGAGTCTCAAATCTAGTTGAGGAGATAAGAAAAATAATATTCTTCTATAAGTATAAAGTCAGTCAATAAATAACATTTATCCAGAATAGTCCTGGGTTATGTGGAAGGCTGGGAGTTGGAATAAACAACAAAGAGGGGTAAAAAAACAAAACTAAACAAACAAAAAATCTTTCAGTAACCCAGTAGTGAAATCACTCCTCCTAATGACATGGTAAGTGTTGGATATTATTGAACTCTAGTCTGCTAGCATACTGGAAACTAGAGTAATAGACCCTGCTTTTTGCTTTGACCCAACCAGCTGCAAAGAATTAATACTGCCCCAATCTTTCTTTAGCTAGCCATCTTTGAGAGCTTTAGATTATTACTATACATTGAAGGAACATTCCATCTTATATAAGCAGAATGTTTTATTCTATTTTTGCCATTTCTTAAAATCAAAGCAACCTAGAAAAAGTTATTCCCACAAACTCATTACTTATTGCTAACTTGACATATTCAGCTTGATCATCTGGTGTAATGTATATATTCTTGAAACTAAATTGATTATCTTGACACTTGCACTTGGCACAATGAAAAGAAAGCTTATAGCTTCAAATACAAGGTCTACATATTACCACATTATAAGGTTAGGATGCCAGAGAAACTAGGAAAGACTTTTTTAAAAAAATCAAAGACATTTTGTTATTTGGTTGTTAAAACTATGAATTTGAGAAAATCTGAATATAGGAGGCCCAAGTATAAAGAATATCTGAAACACAGATCCTAAATATGATGCCTTTTTCAATATCTTACACCTAAACAAGATATGTGAAAGCATGGGCATATTAATTTTGCAAAGATTGCAATCTCAGATATATAGCATCCTCGCTATGACATTTTCTAAGAATTTTTCTCATAAAAACTGTGAAAGCATGAGGCCAGCAACATCAGTAGAAAATTTTAGGTGAGCATGAGTATAATGGCACTTACAAACTGATTAGTGTGAGAAGGTCACAGTGGCAAGAACAAGAAAACCACCAAAAGTGTTATATGGAATCCATGAAACAGAAAATGCTTTCGAGCACATGTATGAGGTTATACAATGCATTAGACATTTTCGTTAGCAATATTTTACTTACTTTTTTAAATGCACATGACTAAAATGTACATTGATCAATATATGTGTTATACGCATAGCAAAATAATAGCTTTGCTTCTCCGAAGACCAGGTAATGGCACTACTGATCAGATTCATGAGCACAATGTGAGTGGTATTGGGAGCGTGGGAACCACAGTGTGAAAATTAAAGTGAGGATGGTACAGTACAGATATCTGATCAGCACATTTCCCAGGGAGACTGTCAACCTCCCTGTTTCTCTTACACCCATTTCAGCACCAAACGATACTAAAACCTCAGCACCCAGCAGGATGAACCAGTCTTTCCTAATTGTGGTTGAGAAGAGCACTTGGGCAATGGAACAAAGTGATTAGCACACATTCCTGCTCAGCCTTCAAATGATTAGTTTTTGGATGCGTACACTGTGATAAAGTATAACTTGAACTTAAACTTGTGGGGATCTGTTTTTAGAAAAGTGGAGATGGAAACATTGAGAGAGTCAAGACCCATGCAACTCTCCTCCTGATTGCCCTGAAAAGCAGGAATCATGCACAAACAAAGCTATTTTTGCTCTCCAATTATCCTCTGAGCATTTGTCTTACTGAACCCCATAATTTGTCTTGATCTCACTACTTTTGGGGAGGTTGCAATCCCACATTTATCTACTCTCTCACCATCATCTCTAATCTCTCTCTTTCCTCTGCCTCTATGTCCTCATTTCCAAACACACATACCTCTTTTCTGTCACAAATGACCATTCGCAGGATCACACTGCCCTCTCCAGCAGGCACTGTTTTTCAGTTTCTTTGACACCAAAATGGTCTGTGCATACTTTCTCCACGTCATTACCGCCTACTCCCTTCTTCATCTTTTGCAAACTAGCTTGTAGTTCTACCTCCCCTCCCCACCCAATGCTGTTTCTTAAGTTAACCATGATCTCTCTCCGTCATTTGGTTTGATCTCTACCATTGTCCTCTAACGGTCTCTTGGCACAGACTTATCCCTTGTCTTCGACAACCTGACATTATCCAGGTTTTTGTTTTTCTTTTTCTGATCCTTCTCTCTTATTTTTTCTTCTACCTTCAAGCTATGACCATTATCCAGGGCAGTCTTTGCTTCTCTGATCTTTTTCCTTTTTAAACCCAGAGAGATATTAAATGGTATTCCTCAGTCGGAAGTACCTTAGAAGTGGCCACTGAGAGTTCAGGAACAACTGGAAGGGTGGACAGGTGGTGCCTCCCACCACTTCAAACAGAATAGTTCTGCTTTTACCTGATTTACTTGTTCTATGTTGTCTCTCTTGGAGAATTTATTTGTATTCACCAGTGTACTGAAAATTGCATCAAAATCCTAAAACTTGAATCTAATTTCTTGTTTTTCCACTATCTCTATGACTTTTGACAAATATTACAAAGTTTTAATGCATTTCTTACATCCAGACCTGTGCCTTTCCTTCCATCTGGACCTCTCTCCTACCCTATTCCTCAGCACCTTCCTAACTCCTACTGATATTTTGGTCTTCTATGTCACTTCCTCCAGGAAGTCCTCTATGAACTCAAAATCTGGGTAGGGTGTTCTTCTGGTGTGGTACCATTGCATTCTGTATCAATTTCTTAACACAGCACTTATTTCATTGTGTTGTCTGTTTGTCTACATTCCCTACTAAACTGGAAGCTCACTGAGGACAGAATATTATTTATACCTCTAGCGTAGTGCTTGGCATGTAATGTTTGAAAAATACAAGCAGATAAATATATATCTTAGCAAGGATATCCAAATTAGGTGACATTGCTCTCTAAAGAGAAACGAAAGGGTTATCCCTCATTCTGATCAAGCTGATCATTCTTCTGATTTGCCTGCTTCCTGAGTGTCCTTGACACCTCCTTCATCCACTTCTGAGTCCTGTTCACAACACCCTAACTATTTGCCTTTTGGGAAAGTTATTTTATATTTCCACTCTGGTTTTACTTGTCTGAAACAGAGGTATACTGCTAAAGATATCTCTGATGACCAGGAAAAATTTAAGGTACTAAAAATTGTGCTATTTTCAACACTGTATTATTACATCATTCTTTTTTTTTTTTTAAAGATTTTATTTATTTACTTGAGAGAGAGAATGAGAGATAGAAAGCACGAGAGGGAAGAGGGTCAGAGGGAGAAGCAGACTCCCTGCCGAGCAGGGAGCCCGATGTGGGACTCGATCCCGGGACTCCAGGATCATGACCTGAGCCAAAGGCAGTCGCTTAACCAACTGAGCCACCCAGGCGCCCTTATTACATCATTCTTAATAAAATTCTAACAATATAGTATTTTGGCCTAATTTCAACAGTTCCAATGTCTTCCACTAGTAAATAAAGGTAATAAACCTTCAAAGGATTTGAAGCTATAGCTAAGCCGTTTATAAGAAGAACGTTCGTAGTTAACTGCCTTGTAAAGAACATATTGCTTCAAATATTTGTTGTACAAAAATGTGTATATACAAATGCAACAAAAAAAATCCTAAAATTAAATCAAAGAAAGGCACAACGTAATGTCCACATACACTCTGCAAACACAGCATTAGAGAAATTTCAAACGGCTGGCATACTAAAACTAGAAAGTGCAGGAGGTATAGTCCCATCTTTAATCCTAAATGGTAATATCACCTTCAACAGGCAAAGCCTGAGTACCTCCATCATAAATGTTGTAAGTTCTGAAAGCAAAATTACATTTAAATTCAGTGAGTTTTGTTTGTGTTTGTATAACGAGAACTCAAATATCAGATAAGTAGCTAATGAGAGGACTTTTAAAATCCTGTTCAACTCAGAGAGTCTGTTCAGGGATTTAGATCATGAATCAATTTAAGTCACTTTATCTGCAGGTTAAGTTTCTCATATTTCTTAAAACAATAGCAATTTTGTAAAGAGAAAAACCCACAGCCAACAGGGGAAATACTACTCACGAGTACTGTGTCAGCAGTTCCAAATCATTATGCATGTTGATTGGATATGCTTCGCTGAGTTCGAACAACTTCTCCAGGGCCTCATAAATGAAAATGATGCAAATAAGAGAAGCAAAAGCTTCTTCAGTAAACCGGGTGATATAGCAGACGAGGGAACTTGCATCGGTGGCCACGAGTATGATACACAGAGTTGCGGTCCACAGTCCAATACTAGCTCTTAAGGATAGGTATGACAGCCCATATTCTCTAGAAGGGGGAAAAGAACAGTGGCAATAAGGGCATTTAACAGCTGGCCACCATTTTAAATAGATGGAAATAAGTCTAATTCAGGAAGTGAAAGTAAATAAGCTTCACATCCCATGACTATCTAAATTCAAGACTGTCTAAAATGAACATCTAAGGGGACAAAACTAAAGGGGTTTCTCAGTGTTTAAAACAGAGTATAATTTTTTAGAAATTTTACTTAACATATTACACAAATCTTTTATTTTTCCTTTATTTCCATGGAGAGACAAAAATGGCAAACTGAATCGAATCAGCCACTTCTACCTCTCCCAGCAGACTCCGAATGTGATGTTGGGAGAAGTATAAATACAGTGGAGAAATAGAAAGGGGCTAAGGGCCAAAAGTATTTGACACTTACTTGCAAAATTTAAACAAAATCTTTTCAAACACCAAAACTGGTCCCGTACTGCCTAATATGGTAAGAGGCTGTCCACCAAAGAGAGAATAGGCTATCCCGGTCATAGACGCTCCAAAGAGAGATTCGATTGCACTCTGTATGGAGATACAAATAAGTCCATTATCTAAGTTGTACAGGCAACCATTATAACTAGGGAGAAAATATTTAAAATACATGAGTATATTCTTTCTCCTTTGCTCTGAAAAGCCTAGCGACCTTGGGCAGGATGTGGGGTAAGAGGATAAGAAAAGGGACAAGCAGTCAGCAGAATATGAGTGGTACTCAGTGGGGATATGTCCTTTCCACATTCCTTATCTTGCTTTTTTTTCTCCTACTAACAATTCACATGTATTCGTGGTAAGTGTCAGGACAGAAGCATGGCCTATATAAATAGGAAATGCGCTCCTTGTGAAGCGAGAACCAGAGCGAAAAGCTAGCCAAGGATTGGGGGTCAGGAATGAGACCAGAATCTTGTGTGAGACTGAGAGCTGACTTCTGAGGTATTCCACTCCCAGATTACCAGTTCTACCTGCCATCCAGGAAACACATATGAAGTGTACCAGTTACGACCACACATCAAATCTCTCCTCATGACGGAATCCAAAAGCTAATGGACAATTATCTATGAATCTTAAACACTGATTGAGCTTTAGAAATCCAAGGAGAGCATAATACATACTATACGACCTTCAGTTGCTTCTCCCAGCAGTCCTCCAAACGTGATAACAGGAGACATACACGCGCAGTAGAGAAACAGAAAAGATGCTAAGCACTGCAGGCTGAAAGCATCTCTGAAGTCACTCCAGAAGTATGGAGCTTTTCTTTTGATATCTAAAATAAGTCCCCCAAAAATCCTAAGACAGGGGGGAGAAACACAAGAGTGAAATCCAAATATAAAAAAAAACCCACACAAATCAAAACCCTCATTTACTCTGTTGCCAGGTCACAGTATACGTTTTCCATCAGCAGAGATGAGACCCATTTTAACCTGCTACATTGTATTATCGTAATCTACAGAGATGGCTTTGCACCACTATGTTACTTCAAGTCCTAACCAAATATTGGGCCAGCAACCAAAAAACCCCAGGTTCTCTTAAACAAGGTTCAGAGCAGTTCCTCCAACAAAATTCAAGTAATGAGATTTAAGGATTACTCTAATCTCCGTGCCATTTCTGTATCCATCAATTCCTCCTAAACTCGGGTCTACTACCCTCAATCACCGGCAGTATTTCCCAATTGTTTACATTTCATTTAGGTGGCAGAAAGTGAAGGTTGGGAGGGTAAACTGGCTTTCGTATTCTACAATAGTGAGCATTACCCTGGAGAGAAGATGGAGTGTTTAACCACGGCTCCAGTTACCTACTTTCTCTCTTTCTCTGCCAAAATATTCCTCACCATGTATTGTTTCCAGGCATCTAAATGGCCTTATGGACGACAGGAATATCTAGTAAAGACAGATTGCTTCCATAATTGTTTCCATTTTTAGGAAATTAGGAATGGGACCTTAAAATAACCAACCTAGAGGGTGCCTGGGTGGCTTAGTCAGTTAAGCGTCTGCCTTCGGCTCAGGTCATGATCCTGGAGTTGCAGGATCGAGTCCCGCATCGGGCTCCCTGCTCAGCGGGGAGTCTGCTTCTCCCTCTGACCCTACCCCCTCTCATACTCTCTATCATTCTCTCTCTCAATAAATAAATTTAAAAATCTTTTAAAAATTTAATTAAAATAACCAACCTAGAAAAATGTAATTTTGATCCACTTTTATCTAGACATATCCCAACATCTATCATTCATAAGACAATAGTGACCTTCCTTGCTATAAATTCACTTATTCTAAATGTATCCAAAAACCACATTGAAACACTTGAAAGAGGAGGGGCAAATAGCATTAAATTGTGAAATGCTCCCTAAAATTTAAGGACCAAAATGTTTTCAATCAACTAGGAACGAGAGTATTAATGAACAATATTCTCATTCTTTGAACATTTAATAATAATATGTGGATTTAACATTTGGCTACTAAGAGCCCTTTGTGCTCCATGGAATAAAGATGTCATATTAAAATGAATAAGACCATGATTAAGTTCCTACGGGAAGGTTAAAAAAACACATTATGTTCCAATATACTGCCAGTATGCTGAATATATTTGGATTATGCAAAAATATTAAGTTTTGTTACTTATTTTCTAGAGAAATATATTCACTGGCAATCTAAGAATCACCTCAAAAATTATTGTTCTCTTGAGAAACAAATTCTGGTTTGCCTTGAAAAATGTATATCTTCAGGATAACTGAAAATTTTGACTATCATTTTTAATTGCCCTGATCTGACTGACATAGACACAATAGTAACACGTTAGTAACTATCTTACTATTATGTAAGTGATAGAATCAGTATGTTTTTCTAGTGATTGCTTCCATCAGAGAGATAGGAGTAGGAGAAACTGAGTGGGATGAAATTCTAATTGAAAAAAAGACATTTAAATCCAAAGAAGCTTACAGTGAACCTGTGAAACTTACACACACAGAGATCACCTTAGTTTCCCCTACCTATGTTTGTTAAACATATGCATTGTTTTTATTTGGGGAGGATCATTTCTGAATGATGTGTTAACTTATCAAAGTCACAATTCAAAATAGATTTAATCTACTATTTATTCATTCATTTATAATTTATACCCCACCTACTCCCCAAAATATTTTGAGATGGTTATGAACTGTTACTTAGTGGTTAATATTTATAGGTTTGATAGTATTTCCTATTAGACCGTTGTTTTCTAATTAATTACTTATTAGGGCATACATTAGTCTAAATAGCTATTATATTACTGTGTAATGAACGTGCTTTTAGCAGCAAAAATCTAAATCCGGAAGTGGGAGGTCATTGCAGAGAACAGTGCAAGGGCAGCCCAGATGTACACCAGCAACTCCAGGAGAGCAGATGAGTAATGGATACTTCAAGTCATGTCAGCAACAGAATCTGTGGAAGAACTCTGGAGAAGCGAAGATACCGGATATTGGTGACCTGGGAGGATTTAGGAAGCAGTAAGGAAAAGTGAACTTCGAAAAAAATCTAAGCTATGTGGCATGTTACACCTGAGAGAGAGAGAGAGAAAGAGAGAAAAAAAAAGAACCACCAAAAATAAAAAGACAGCATTTGAAAATATGAAAGCAAACAGAAGGAGTAACCGCGCTTCCAGTAAAGGGAAAAGGAAAAAATTGTTTGAATCATCTCAAATTATGTGTGGAGCCCGAGGAAGACGTTCAAGGACATTTCCTCAGAGACAAAACATAGATAAAGGGAAAGAACAGAGAATTAAAATGCACAGAGTTGTCAGAAACCGGAAAGTCGGCTTAGAGGACACAGTGAAAGCAGTCCCGGAAATGGCCTTGAGAGGAAGGGAGTACCAATCCTGCAAAGCCTTTGCCATTGCCTTCAATTATAATGGAGGCTGTGTGCGCACATATTCCCTGAAGACAGACCCTCCCAAGCTTTCTGATTTTCTGCTCACACATTGCTTGGAGAGAGACAAGCTGTCAAAAAACGATAAAGAACCATTTTAAGAAATAAATTGAAGCTTTCATCTCTTCAAAGATGTGTGATTAGAAAAATAAATCATACAGCTCTTTCAAATTACAACCATAAAAATAAAAAATACTATTATATACATCCTACTTGCATGTAATGAGATAGGGTCTATAAGACTGAGTTCTTGATATTTATTTTTATTTCCACATTGAACTTGAAGCTTTCAACAGGCTCTTTTAGAAGGGGCAACTGACAGTTTTCTTATTCATTCTAAGAATCTGTGAATGCATTTTATGCACAGCAAAATGAAAGACTAGGTAAGATAAAATGGAATGATGTATCCACTGTTCTGGCTTAATAGTAACAAAAATCATTAGCAAATACTGGGAAATCAAATTAATTGGCATTAAATAGGTATTCAGGTACTAGGTATTCAAATAAATAAATAGGCAAATCGGTATTCACTAAGTACTCAAAGTCTAAAAAAAAATTACATCTCAAAACAGCAATTCCTGACACAAAGAGCGGTGTCTCATTTGGTCTTTGAAGTCCCATACAAGTGCTTTTCACTGACCTTCCAGTTCGCTGGAGTTCAGGTCCACTATGTCCTCCGTGGGGCTCTGCTTCCCCATGAGCTGCTGTTCCATTCGGTACAGCAGGAATCTTCCTCTTCTCCTGCAGGAAGTTTTTTGTTTTTGTTTTTTAATTTCAGGTGCTAGTTGTAAATAACAAAAACAGATTTTTTTCCCTTGAGGCAATATGCAGAGTGGCTAAGAACCCAGGCTCTGTTACTTATTTGCTGCATGACTTCTAGCAAGTTATCTAAGCCTCCTAAAGCTTCAGTTCCCTCCTCCATTTACCAGTAGTAATGACATCTGTCAGTGTGATTGAGAAAATTAAATGACGTGATGGGCATTTGTTCATTCTTTCAACTAATCTTTATTGAGTGCCTTGTGTGCCATGCATTGTTATGGATGGTAGAGAGGCAAAAATGAGCAAGAAAAAGCATTCTTACTGGAGACAAACAACAAATCTCTAACGTCAAGTAGAGATAGAGCTATGAAGACAAATGAAAGAAAGGAAGGGGACAGAGAGATGAGGGCTGGGTAGGTTGGAGTGAGGAGGTACTAGGTATGGTGGTGTTATATGCCTGGCATAGTTCAACTGTTCAATAAACTTCAACTATTACCATTATCTATTTTTGAGGGTAGTTCCCTCTTTTATTCTGGCTGGTATCTTCCTACCCATGGAGTGATTTACAATATGGTTTTTTCTGACTCACAGAGATTCAAAAGATTATTACAAAAGGAGACTTCAGTTGAGCCATTGAAAAATTAGCTGAGGCTTATGTAAGTGCTGTCTTATTCACAAGTCTTTTCCACCCACTTTTGTTAGTGACAGAGATTTTTAAAAATCAGAAAATCCTACCTATCAGTTATCTTAGAGCATGCCAGTGTGTTCAAAAGGACTTAAAAGGATCATAAAAATTTTTAAAGTGGTGCAATTAAAATTTTTACTTGACTGCCGTTCCAAAATAGTGTAATCATTATCAAATGTTCTTACGTACAATGGGACATTTAGGTAAAATGGCACAGGTTTAAAACATGAGAAAAATAGGCTTTGAAATGCACAAAATATAGAAAAGTTCATTGTTTAATGTTTTTACAACTTTCCAGGTATATGAATAGGTACATTGAACTAAAGTTCAAAGATAAAAGAGAGGATGCCTGTCAACTGATGGAGGACCTGCCTTTACATATAAATAATTATTATCTGTTGTAAAGGGCTTTAAGGGTGGCCTCAGTACCTTCAATACCCAACAGTCACCCAGGAAACACTTCTTAGCTTCCACAAATCTCAGAAAGCAAGTGATATTATTTGGTCTTCTGGGTCATTATCCCTTACCGGCTGTGTTAACTCATGATCTTACGATGAAAAAGCTATACTTAGATAAGGCAAATGATAAACCATGAAAGATATTAGCCATTCTAAAGCACCTGTTTCATCAAGGAGTGTTTATCTTATAGTAAGAGGGAAAGGTGTGTGAAAAGAGATGTGTGAACAGTACTGACGAATATTCTGAGGAAAATATAGGAAATATTTTTTGTTCAGAAACACAGGTATTTTGATATTTTAAAACAAATCAATGAGTGAGTATGTACTTGACTACTCAAATTATACAATTTATTTAGTCAATCAAGAAATACTTATTGAGAGCCAATTTGTGTCAGGTTCTTGGCCCCACCACTAATACACCAGTGGACAAATCAGGTCTGTGGAGCTCACATTCTAATGGGGAATGCCAACAATAAAAAAAAATAAACACATAAGTAAATTAATTCTATGGTATGTTAGAAAGATTAAAACTATGTAAAAATAAAAACTTATAGTAGAGTAAGGTGTGGTCTGAGGTGTGGGCTGGGTGGGCAGGGAGGAAAGAGTGGCAATTATAAACAGAACCATCAGGTAGGATCAGTGAGAAAGTGTCATTTGAGAAAAATCTGAGGGAGTCAAGGGACTAAGCCTTGAGAATAACTGGGGGATATCCAGATAGGAAAGAAGAGCCAATGGGACAATGTCAAGGCAGGAGTATGGCTATAGAGTCTGAAGAACAAGGAACAAAGAAGCCAAATAGTTGGAGAGGAGCGAGCAAGGCAGAAAGTGGTAGTTTACTTTGAAGAGGTAAAGGGACGCCAGAGTAGGTTTAGTAAACCGTTGTAAGTATTTGGATTTATTCTCAGTGAAATGAGTTAGTGTTGTAGGGTTTTGAGGAAAGGAGTAGCATGACCTCATTTGGAGTCACTCTGGCTGCTGTGTTGAGAACACAGGGGCCAAGGACAGCTACAAGGAGACCAGTTAAAAAACTATTTCAATAATCCAGGAGAAAAATGATGGTAGCTTGAACTAGAAGGGTGGCAGTGGCATCAACAACAAGTGGTGTAATTCTGCATAAATATTAAAGGCGAAACCAAGAGTATTTCCTGGCAGAATGGAAATCTAAGAATAAATTAAAAATTAGTAATTTGGGCTTGATCAACAGTAAGATTGGAATTAGGACCTAACAAAAAAGAGGGTGCAGATAGAAGAGACTTTTCAAAAAGATCAGTTTCTTGTACACTTCAGGAAGCATCATATTGCCTTTTCTAACATAAATGCAAAGATGCAGACAGGAACAGAAATGAGACAATCTACAATTCAGTTCAAACTTTGGACATGTCAAGGTTTAGATATCTATAAGACATCCAAGTGAAGACATGGGACAGGCATTTGGATAAATAACTCTCAAGTTCAAAGTAAACAATAAATTTGGGAGAGGACTTAAAGCTATAATATTGGATGATATTATCAGGAGAATGAGTGTAGGTAGAGAAGAGAAGATGACTATAGACTGAGCCTGCATCATTTCAAAATATAGAAAGAAGAAACTGGCATAGGAGTCTGAGAAGGAGTGACCAATGACCTAGGAAGAAAATCAAGAATGTGGTGTTTTGGGAGCTAAGCAAAGAGAGCATATCAGGAAAAGGGAAGTCATCAATTCTGTCAAATCCTGTTCACTGACAGGCTAAATGAAATTCAGACTGAGAGTTGACTATGAGATTGAGCATTGTGGAGATCTTTGGTGACCTTCATGTAAGTAATTTTAGTGAAGTGATGGGGACAAAAGCCTTATTGGAGAAAGTTTAAGAGAGACTTGGAGGAGAGGAACTGGAGCAGGTAGTACAGAGAACTCCTGTGCCATTTGGTTGCAGAGGGGAAAAAAAAAGGAATGGGTGAGTAGCTGATAGTGGTAGCAGTAAAGAGAGTTCTTTTTTTTTTTTTAAGATTTGCAAATTAATAAGGTTGCACGCTAGTGAAAATGATGTAATACAGAACAAAAGAATTGATATAGGAGAGAAAGAGGAGAATTGGTGGCGTAATGTCTTTGAATAGGTTTGAAGAGATGGGATCTAGTGCAAAGGTAGAATGCTAACTTCGGATAATTCGTCAATAGTAATATATGGGAAGGCAGATTATGTGGGTGCAGGTGCCGGTAGGCAGATAGGCATGGTAGTGGGAGTCTATGGAAGTTCTCTTTGATCATTTCAAATTTCTCAGTGAAGTGGGAAGCAAGTCAAATCTGAAAGTGAGGGTCAGGAAGGATGTGCTGAAGATTTGAGGAGAGAAAATGGGTCTGAAATAGTCATCTAGAGAGAATTATTGGACTAGGGGAGTATAGTATGATGAACTTGCAACATTAAGGGCCCACTTGAAGTATGTGGTCATGAATTAATGAGATCAGTCAGTGTAGTTACGTTTTCCTTCAGCTACACTCAGCTGTATCAATGCAGGTACAGATTAAAGAGCTGGATTCACACAAGGATGTGGTTTCAACAAGCAAGTAAATGGTATGAGAGAAAAGCAAAGAAGTTTGGGGTATACACAAGGGAGAGATTATAATGCCTGACATAAAGTTCTGATGAATATTTTCAAGTTTATCCTTTGAGGTGACTAGTTATTCTTCTCTTAACTGAGAGGAAAAAGTGCTTAAAGATCTGTGATTTATGGGGTGCCTGGGTCCCTCAGTCAGTTAAGCACCTGACTCTTGATTTTGGCTCAGGTCATGATCTCAGGGTTGTGAGATCAAGCTCCACATCTCCCTCTCCCTCTGCCCCGGCCCTCGCTCATGAGTGTGCTCTCTCTCAAAAAAAAAAAAAAAAAAAAAACAAACCTGTGATTCACACATTTCAAAAGAACATAAAAACCATGGAAATTATCCCATGGGGGGAAAATAGTATTTGAATGAGTATGAAGTCAGAGTATTTAATATCTTTTAATTTATCTTGCTTCATTTAATGAAAGAAACCATAGTTCATAGTATCTGTTATTCAATTACAACACACATTTAAAAAATACTAATGTTGTAAAGAAGCATAGCAGAACCCAAATGCCTTGATTCCTAATTCAATGTTCTTTCTACTACTGCCTCTTAATACTCAGAATCCAATAATTAATCCTGATTTTAAAGAGTCCCATAAAAATAACTTTAAAAATAGAGTTCCCAGGCCTCAACTTGCTTCAAAAATATCATTCCTCAAAGGCAAGATGTTTTCAAAAATGCCTGACTTCAGTTTTAATGTTTAAAAAACTAAATGGTGTTAACAAGTGACTTTTAAAGTCTCACTCTCAATGTATTAATATTTTTTTACAAGAGAAATTAGAAAATATTTTAATTGAATGAAAATGAAAACACAAATATATCAAAATTAGGGGGATGCAAATGAGTATCACCATTCCCTCTCTCTCTCTCTGTCTCTCTTCCAAAACAGTCTGTATTTTATTTTATTTATTTTTTTCTTTAAAATTTTTATTGTTATGTTAATCACCATACATTACATCATTAGTTTTTGATGTAGTGTTCCATGATTCATTGTTTGTGCATAACACCCAGTGCTCCACACAGAACGTGCCCTCTTTAATACCCAACACCAAGCTAACCCATCCCCTCACCCCCCTCCCCTCTAGAACCCTCAGTTTGTTTTTCAGAGTCCATCATCTCTCATCGTTCGTCTCCCCCTCCGATTTACCCCCCTTCATTCTTCCCCTCCTGTGATCTTTTTCTTTTTTTTTTTCTTAACATATATTGTATTATTTGTTTCAGAGGTACAGATCTGTGATTCATCAGTCTTGCACAATTCACAGCGCTCACCACAGCACATACCCTCCCCAATGTCTATCACCCAGCCACCCCATCCCTCCCACCCCCCACCACTCCAGCAACCCTCAGTTTGTTTCCTGAGATTAAGAATTCCTCATATCAGTGAGGTCATATGATACATGTCTTTCTCTGATTAGTTTCTTTCTTATTACTTCAAGAAGCATTATATTGCCTTTTCTAATATTGTAAGTGCAAAGATGTTTACAAGTACAAAAATAAGTCAGTCATGACCTAAAATTACTCTTCAAACAACTTCTTTTATTTTAGTAGTTTGAAATCAACTGAAATTATGTGGCTGTAGGTATAGAATCAGAAAATTGTCACTGTTGAGAAAAGGAAATCAAATAATCTTTAATAATTATGAAATGACTTCAGAATTTTTTCTTATTTCTTTCTATATTTCTTAAATTGATAGTGAGATTAAGCTGACCTTTTTAAATACTCATGGTTGAGTGGTACACTTGTTCATCTGCCCACCTCTGGCTAACCAGGAAAACTTCTATGTCCAGGGCTGAGTCAACTAAAGCAGTAGAGTCTGACGGGCTGTACTCCACAGGGACAAGAACCCAAGCAAGGCTGAGTAGATGACAACTGGGAGGGTTTCAGGAGGCATATTCAGTAGGAACAGAGGTGGCAATATGAGTGGGCTTAACAAACATTTGGCCACCAATCTCAACAAAGTCAGGCCTGCAATTAAAAAATGTGACACCAAATAATAGCAACAAACTTTATTTTTACCTTTCTGGATTATATAATGAGTGAAATGCACACTGGATTTTTAGAGTCAAAATTTTTATAATTTTTGTATCATATGTCCACACAAAGTTAATACATAAGATTATAATTTAAAAATTATTCCTGATCATAAATATGATTAGCAGTAATGGGGAATTTTCTATATAATATGATTAAGCCGGCCATTGAATTTTCTTTTTTTTTTTAATGTAGTCATTGTTTTATTTTTAAAAATATTGATCCACCTGGATCCACCTGCACTAAATTGGAACTTGTAAATGTTCCAATTTAGTGCAAGGCAAAATTAAATAAATCTTGACATTAATTAGGTAAACAATACATACATATCGAAAAGAACTTTTTAAATTTTTTTTTTACTTTTTTTAAAGTTTTTATTTTAATCACCTGGTGCTTATCATGACAAGTACATTCCTTAATCCCCATTATGTATTTTACTCATCCTTCCACCCACCTCCCCTCTGATAACCATCAGCTTTCTTCTCTACAGTTAAGAGTCTGTTTCTTTGTCTTGCTCCTTTTTTTCCCTTTACTCATTTGTTTTGTTTCTTAAATTCCACAAATGAGTGAAATCGAATGGTATTTGTCTTTCTCTGACTGACTTATTTTGCTTAGCATTATACTATCTAGCTCCATCCATGTTGTTGCCAATGGCAAGATGTCATTCTTTTTTATGGCTGAGTAATATGTGTGTGTGTATATATATATATATATATATATATATATACCACTTCTTTATCCATTCATCTATTGATGGACACTTGGGTTGCTTCCATATCTTGGCTATTTAAATAATGCTGCTATAAACACAGGGGTGCATGTATCCCTTTGAATTAGTGTTCTTGTATTCTTTGGATAAATACCCAGTAGTGTGTCTACTAGACCAAAGGATGGTTCTACTTAACTTTTTGAGAAATCTCCATACTGTTTTCCATAGTGGCTGCACCAGTTTGCATTCCCCCCAACAGTGCAAGAGGGTCATTTTTCTCCACATCCTTGCCAACACCTGTTATTTCTTGTTTTTGATTTTAGCCATTCTGACAGGTGTGAGGTGATAACTCATTGAGGTTTTGATTTGGATTTCCCTGATGCCAAGCAATGTTGAGCACTTTTTCATGTGTCTGTTGGCCATCTGGATGTCTTCTTTGGAGAAATGTCTGGTCATGTCTTCTACCCATTTTTAATTGGATTATTGGGTTTTGGGTATTGAGTTTTATAAGTTCTTTATATATTTTGGATACTAACCCTTTATGGGATATCAAAAAAAACTTTAAAGCATTAAAAAACTTTGAAATGTCTTTAAAGTTTAATTTCTAGAAATACAGCAGAATAAACATTTCTAATTGATAGACTTTAAAGAGTTTGACTGAGTAATGAAATGCTCAGCGTGGCAAGGTCTGAAGAGGCAGAAAACAAGGTCATATGTCTTTGTTTTTCAACTTAGTGATAAATGATGTCAGCTAGGAAAAATATAAATTATTGAGTGCCTTACTGTATACATTTTTATCTAGTTTTCATTTGGTATATTATAAGACGGCACATTCCAAAAACTATTATCTGCAGAGAACAATCCTTTTCCAATCCTTTATGTCCATACGTTCCCATAGATATCAACATGAGAGTGTTTATTGCCTTGAGCTCAATCGAGGTACTGCATGACTCTAATGTGAATCCTTTAGTGTTCTATAAGGTCATGGTATAACTGATTTTATGTAGAACATGTAGTTCTCATTTCTTAATTAGTTGCTCTGCTCCTTCTCTTTCGTACTGAGTACAGTATCCACAGTTATTCCTATATGCTGCAGGGACCAGCCTTCCTCCACTTCCAGGGGCTTTCTGGGAAAGAAAGTAGAAAGGCTGTATAGGGATGTGTGGTACCTGATTTTTATCATCCAGTCAAATAAGACCTGTGAACTGCAACACTAAACAAACTTTCTTCTCAGGACCCACTTGGACATTGGAGGGCAACAACTACTTTTTCAGCTGTTTCAGGAGATTCTTCAGGTAGATCAAGAAGCTCCTTCTGTGTGGGCTCTTCAGCAGATGATGAAACTTTGGTTAAAGGCTCAGGTTGGGGTGCTTGGGTGAGTCAGTCAGTTAAGCAATTGACTCTTGATTTCTGCTCAGGTCATGATCTCAGGGTGCGATCTAGTCCTGCAATAGGCTCTGGGCTGAGCATGGAGCCTGTTTAAGATTCTCTCTCTCCCTCTCCCTCTGCCCCAACCCACTGCTCATCCACACACGTGCTCTCTCTCCAAATAAATAAATAAAGGCTTAGGCAAGTTGTGTCTCTGAGGCTTCTCTGTGTGATGTTTCAAAAGATGTCTGACTTGTTTTCGAGCACCAAAGCTTCATCACCCACAAGTTTACGACCATTGCTTAACAGGTTTCACCTGTTATCTGATAAAAGCACTCTTCCAGTTTTCTCAATTTCATTTCCTGGTGAGGTCTTAGAACATTCTCTATGTATCTACTGACCTTTGCACCCTGTGCTCTGTGTTTTTTTTTCTGCCAAGTTTTTGCCTTTTCTCATTCTTCTCTTCTTCTTTCAGATACTCTTGGGAAGATTTAAATGAATTAAGCCATGAGGTAGTCACAGAAATAATTAAAGTAAGAAGAGCAAGTGGTAAGAAAATCTGGACACACAGCAAAATTAGATCTTTAATTCCTAGATCAGGGATCCTATGCTGAGCTCCAGACACAAGAAAGGAAGAGCAGAGAGGAGGAAATGCCAATAACCCCATGAGAAGCCATAGTGGTGGGAGCCCCATATCTGTGCAGGAGGTTGAATTTTCTTAATACTTGCCAATTTCAAAGAGCTATATCAACCAACAAGCAATGCTACAATCAACCACACAAGCAATGCTACAATCCAACTCAATTCTGACACTAGTTAATGGGAGACAGCATCAGATTCTAGGGTTGAGGGTTCATTCCTGCAAGATTGCCCCCACGCCCCTCCCAGGTTGCTACTTGAGCTTCTGACTGAGTAGGGCTATAAATCAGAGGTTCCCACAACCCTCCACTCTGGTTCAATTAATTTGCTAGAGCTGCTCACAGAACTCAGGGCAACATTTTACATATAGATTACTGGTTTATTACAAAAGAATATACCTCAGGAACACAGCCAGGTAGAGAGATGCACAGGGCAAGGTATGGGGAAAGGGCAGGAGCTTCCACGTCCTCTCCAGACACGCTACTCTCCCCAATCTCCACATGTTCACCACTTGGAAGCTCTCAGTTCCCTGTCCTTTTGGGATTCCATGGAGGCTTCATTACATAGGCATGATTGATTAAACCATTGGCCACTGGTGATTGAACTCAATCTCTAGCTCCTTCCATTCACTGGAGGTGAGGTGAGAAGGTGGGACTGAAAGTTCCAGCCCTCTAATCACATGCTTGGCTCTACTGACCCCCAGCTCCCATCCTGTGGTGAGTTCTAAAAGTCACCTCATTAACATAACAAAAGACACCTTTGTTGCTTTCCTCACTTAGGAAATTTCAAGGGGCTTAGGAGCTCTGTGCCAAAAAACGGGATGAATGCCAAATATATATTTGTTATTATAAATCACAACATCACAGAGGTTATAATTTAAATCACTTTGAATCTTTTGAATGAGTTATACCATTTCAGTATGTGTATTTAAAAGACAACAAAATGATGGCATTTTTAAGAGTATTTTCAAATAAAACATACCTGGGAAGGAACATTTTTGGGAGGCTCTATACGAATGCTTGGATCCCATTCTCCAGGAGGGAGAACAGTAACCTGATCCAAAAATTCATCGATTCCCGATACCAAGTCATTGCGATCTTTAGCTTTGTAAGCAACATCATGAAATACCTATAGGAGGAAAAGAAAGAAACAATAAGTAAAAGATAAAAAACCAATTATAAAAACTTAACATGCTCAGTGTTTTCATTTCCTAGTTATCTCACAATTTAAAAAAATTGGCAGCTCTAACTAAAGAAGTTTTTAATTTAAACTATTATAATTTAGTTTATTTCTATGAATGCACACAGATATATATTTTTCTTAGAATGCTAGAATGAATGTTGAAATTTCTGGAGGCAGGAGTAAGAGAAAGGGAAAGGAGTAAGAAAGGAAGCTCATTAAACTAGAATTAAGGATTCAAGTTTGGCAGAGGTTATTTATGTGTGGGTAAATCAAACTTTCAGAAAGAAGCCCTTGCTTAAAAATAGAGATAATATTTATAGAATATGTTAAAAATTTTAGCAATATTTATACCCCGGTACATATAAACCAATTAAAAAGGCTTATTTTGTTTTAATTTTTTAAAAATAATAAAGTTATAAATTAGTATTCTCTGGGCATATATCGTATCTACACAGAGTAGCAAGCAGACTAATACACCCATTCAGGTGTAACATGTCACTTTCAAATGTAAGTTATGATAATCAGTGTGTAAGTTAAACACGTTGCCTTTTGTCTGCTATAGTGACTGAGAAAAAGCAAGTCGAGATGGAGTGTCTATGGGCCTGGGTGCCTGAGTAACTATAATGAGCAGAACGCTTGTGCCAACTCATGATAGACAACGAGCATGATAGAAGGAAATCCTCATTGTTTTAAACCACTGAGATTTTAGGTGGTTATTCCTGCAGCATAACCTAATCTCTTCTGACTAACACACAGAGAAACGATATACTTAACATAACAAATGAAGAAAGTAAAAATAAAGATAAATTGGAAAAATTGATCTATATTAAACATCATATAAATGTTTCTGGTACTTTCTGTATTTCATGTAATATGAAATGGAACAAATATTTCAGGCTTGGGGCTAGTAAACTATTCTATATGCTGAGCTATGTATTACAATGGCCACATATTCCAAAATTTCCAGGGAAATTGTGCTTTCAAGTGTTTTATTCTACTTTTAGACCATTTGTTTTAGTTTCTGGTTTGATACTCAATCTAAACTGCTGAAAAAGAGATAATAATTATTTTCAAAAGCTTTTTGTTTACTTTCCAGCCAAGAACTTTTCACAAAAGATTACTAGTGTGATAAATATACAGTCTTTGCTTAGGATAAATTGAAGACACCGAAGATATATTAATGGTTTAGTTGTATTTGGGAAAGATATATTTTTTTAAATATTGACAACACTGATTTCCCTGCCACAAGCCACTGAGTTTATAGCCCAGAATATTTATCCTCTTCTAACGAGTTTTATATGGCCATGAGACCTACTCTGAACATTTAAGAATTACAAATGTTTTTAATCCCAACAAGAGTTTAGCTACTTTACTAAACTCTCTTGAAATCTTTCTTGAGTTGATCTCTTAATTTAAAAATTGCTTCAAGAGATCCCATGATCCTATACCTGCTTTAGATAAATAAATGTCCAAATTCATCCAGGACAGCTGATTTCCTATTATCTTAAAACTCCTCAGAGGTATAGATACCACAATTTGTTTGATTTTTAAATTAAAAGCATTCTTTACTATTGATTTCCTATCACCAATTTCCCCAATATCTTAATTACTTTAAACAGCTTCTCTCCCTTCTCATTATGTAGCTAAGCTAACATTCTGATTTCAACATACATTTGACTTTTAAGAGAAGCCTTCCCTCATCCCCTCTCAAACAAGATTAGACATCTTGTTAATACTCTCCTAACACCTTCTTCTTTTTCTTGATAGTTTTCACTGTAATTGTAATTATATAATTAGTTGCTTAATGCTTATTTTCCCTGCTAAAACATGAGCTCTGAACATTCATTTAATATTTATCAAACTACTTATATGCTAAAGATACAGCAGTGAATAAAACCAACAAAAATCCATCCCTCATGGAGCTTACATTCTAGTGGGAGGGGAGAGATGGAAAGTAAACAATATAGTGAGTATATATTTTGTTGGAAGGTGTTGTGTTCTATGCAGAAAAATGAAGCAGGGAAGAGGAATAGGGGTATGACTGGGGGATGCTGTGATTTAAGTAGGGTGTTTAAGGAAGGCCTCAATGAGACACTTTAGCAAAAAACGAGGTATTGGAAACAAGAGCTCTCCAGACAGAGGGCAGAGCCAGTGCAAAGATTCTCAGGTGAGAGCAGGCATGTCATATTTGAGAAGTAGCTAGGAGGTCAGATCCAGGGAAGGAGTGAGCTAGAGGGAGAGTAACAGAAGATGAGGTCTGAGAGGAAAGGTCATCCTGTAGGATTTTGTAGATCATCATAAGAATTTTGACTTTTACTCTGAATGAGATAAGAAGCCATTAGAAGGCCCTGCAGAAGAGTAGCTCTAGCTGTCTATTGAGAACAGAATGAAATAGGCAATAGCAGAGAGAACAAGTAGGAGTCTATTGCAATAATAGAATAATAATGGTGGCACGGAACAGGTGATATGGGTAAGAACAAGGTGAAAACAGTTCAGAAAGTCAGAAGTAGTAGGATTCCAGATATATTTTGAAAGTAGAGCCAGGAAGATTTATTGGCAGACCAGATTTGAGTGTGAAAGATATAGAGGAGTCAAGGAGGACTTCATAAGGCCAGTGACCATGTCTTTAATTTTTAAAAAAAATCTTTTAAAGATTTTATTTATTCATTTGAGAGGGGAAGAGAGAGAGAGAAAGAGAGAGAGAGCACGCACAAGCCAGGGGGAGGGACAAAGGGAGAGGGAGAAGCGGACTCCTCACTAAGCAGGGAGCCTGACACAGGGCTCGATCCCAGGACCCTGGGATCATGACTGAGCTGAAGGCAGACGCTTAACTGACTGAGCCACCCAGGCGCCCCCACAGTTTTAATTTCTATCACACAACTAGGAACTGTCCTTCCTTTCTTCCTTCCTTTCTTCCTTCTTCATTCTTTTCCTCCCTCCCTGCCTCTCTTCCTCCCTTCCTTTCTCTTCTTTTTAAAAGAGGAGATTCTAGATCATCTTTGTAAGGTGGTAGAATTGATAGAGTAGGAAGAAACTGATAATGTAGGAACTGGAGTGGATAATTAGGAGCAAATTTCCTATCAATGCAGTGGGTGGGAAGAAGGAAGGATCCAGAAATGGAGACTGATAAAAAAGCAGCAATGAATTAGGAGGAAACTTAGTAAATGTGTTTGTTTCCTTCAAGCCTGCTTTTACTATTTTTGGGCTTGTTCTTCCATATATTTCACAGAATAAACTTACCAAGCTCCTCAATAAATCCCAACGGGATTTTAAGTGGAATTGCAATGATGGCTTTCTCACCATCATTGGTGAGAGAGAGAAAGACCACCAATGCCTCTTAAGTGGTCTCTGCTTTTTCCCTTGCTCCTCCACAAGCCAAGTGATGCTTTTAATATGTGAGATAAATCATGTCATTTCTCTACTCAAAACCTTCCATTTGCTTCCCAACTCAAAGTCCTTACATGACCTACAAAGACTGGCCCATTGCCTCTTTGACCTCATTGCCTACTGCCCTCTCCCTTTCCCAAACCTCCTGCCCAGCCAGGCTGTCCTCTTTGCTATTCCCCAGATATTCCTGGCATGCTCCTGTCTCAAAGCATTTTCCCTTGTTTATCCTTTTGCTTGGGAAGCTCTTCCCTCAGATATCTGAATAGCTTGCTCCCTCTCCTCTTTTAGGTTCTTGATTTTAACTTGAAACTCTCCCCATCCCACTCCTCTCTCCTTTCCTTGCTTTGGGGGTTTCCTCTATAGCACTTATCAGCACATATCATATATTTTACCTATTTATGTGCTAGTTCATCTTTCCAATAGACTATTAGCTCAATGAAAGAAAAGGCTTTTGTCTATTTTGTTCACTGATAGATCCCCAGCAACTGCAAGAGTGCCTGATAAATAGTTTACATTCAATAAATATTTATTAAATGAATTAAATAAAGAACAAAGTGAAGGAGGAATTTGTCATACTAGAGACCAAGACTCATTATAGTAAAGACACTATAATTAAAATAGTTATGGCACAGAGATGGGTGGTTTTGTTGTTGTTGTTGTTGTTTTTTGAAAAGTACTCATTGCTAACCATTGAATAAATGATGGACTAACCAATAAATGGTGCTAAGCCAAGTTACTATATAAAAATGAAATTGGGTCTTTACCCACCTCCCATATTAAAAGCAATTCTAGGTATATTAAAAACTTATATATGAGAGAGAAAGTATAAAACTCATGAACATAAAATAAAAGAATATATTTATGACCTTGGGGTAAGCAATAGTATACATTTCAAAGTTTTAGTTTCAAAACAAAGCACACAATTAATTTTAGTTGTTCTTCATGAAAAAAAGATGTTCAAAAATGTGAAATGCCAATAGAAGATCAAGTGACATGAGTGCTGAACACAGAATAGTATATTCTATAAATAGTGGCCTTACTGAAAGCAGTTATCGTAGAGTGGTAGTGACAAAAATCAGACTGTAATACCTTGAGACGAATGAAGCTAAAATAACCAGGTCCAGGAAGATGCTACTCCTTTTCAAAGCTTTTGAAATTCAGATTCAGTCAACAGTTCTTCAATGGTAGATGCTATGTGAAGCAGTAAGGGATTTCCCTTTAAGGATGGGGAAAACCTGGACATTTATTTGATACGTATTTCTTAAGTAGCTACTATATTTGGGCCTGTTTGCTGATTGAAGAGAAAGAGTCAGTGTTGACTTAAAATCTGGGTAACAGAGAGAATTCTTGGCTCAAAAATCCAGAACAAGAAGAAGAAAAACAATGCCACTCTTAGTAATTTTTTGTTTTTGTTTTTCCTTTTGTTTTCATAAAACTGTCATTTATGTTAATATATACTGATTTTATTATTTTTAAATGAATTTCATAAATACAGATTTTTTAAATTCTCAGTTTTAAGTTCTATTATGATAAATATCAGCATACTATTTATATAAACAAAAGCTCTTTGGTGTGCTTAATAATGTTTAAGAATGTTAAAGGATTAACATTGGTAGTAATGCCAATGGTAGTTGGTAGTAGTGCCAATAAGCAAAATCATATGATTTATCACTAGTAATGCTCACCAGAAAGGAAGAAATAGCTTACTGAATTGATTCAGTGTCAGGTATTGCTAAGATGACTAGCACATTCAGTTATTAACTCATTAAAAAAGATTAAACCCTGACTGAAGACCTGACACTATGCTAAGTCTAAAGATATAAAAGAAAAGACAGAATGACTACCTACAAGAAATTTCCAGTATGGAGAGGAGAAAAACCAACAAAGCTCAGTCAACAAATATTTATTTGAGCACCTGACAAAATCAGGGCACAAAAATGAATGATAAGTGTTAACTGCTATCATGGAATTTACAGTTTGATACCATAATCTGATTCACCACTTTCTTAACTAAACTATGAACGAACATATTAAATTTTATTCTTAATGAGTATAATTATTCATTGCCTTCAAAGCAATTAGATAAGCAGAACAACCTCTTTACCTGGGTTTTGAACGATAAAAAAAGTTCTTTCTCTTTTAAAAGTATTTAAACATTGTTTTGGTATTCAATGGATCTACTATTATAATCAATTGCTCTGATTTTCTGGAGTAACTTTCTGACTGTTTCTGCTTCTCTATCCCACTGCTCACAGAGAGTTACAAATCGCCCTAAAACTAAGCTCTAAACTTTCAAGTCAAAGGGATTTATGTTTGAGCCTGCATTTAGGTGGCTAATGCTTGCTCTCAAACTGCTCTCATTCTAAATCTATGATTTAAAAAACATGGGTGCTTCCCTGTTGTTCCATGGCCACCTGATTAGTCAAAAAGACTTTGGAACTGACATCTTTCGGTTGAGAAAACCTTGACTCCTAATTGGGAAAGAGAAGAATTAGGAAGAGAGATACCTTAAGTATATATGAACCTCCCATGACACAACATGCTCCTCTCACCGTATAATATATCCCATGCCCCAGAAATATCTTATGTCCTAATGTTGTAGATATAGAAACATAACATAACATGAAATATATGTGCATAAAAGTGACAGTACTTAAATTGTGGACTGCAAATCACAGTGGCATATATTTTGCAATACTGTAAAAACTGCAAAATATTAATCAATATGGAAACACTAAAAGCAAAGATACCGTGAGTGTCTTCTCAAGAGAGTTCCACTAGAGCAGGGTTTGTGGTCCTCATGAAGCCCTTTTCCAACTCCCCTGTCCTGTTCCAGATTTCCTCAATAACGTGATACTCACTGTGGTGAACTGAGTAGTGTCCTCTCAAAACATGTCCACCTGAACCTCAGAATGTGACCTTATTTGGAATAAGGGTCTTTGCAAATGTAATGAAGGTAAAGATCTCAAGATAAAATCATCCTAGATTAGGGTTGGCTCTAAGTCCAATGATGGATATCCTTCTAAGAGACAGAAAGGGAGAAGACACACAGAGGAAAGGGAGAAGAAAGCCATGTAAAAATGGAAGCAGAGATTGGAATTTTGCCACCACAAGTCAAGAAATGCCAGGAGCCACCAGAAGCTGGAAAGACAAGGAAACATTCTCCCCTAGAGCCTTCAGAGAGAATGTGGCCCCCCTGCTGACACCCTGATTTCACACTTCTGGCCCCCCAAAATGTGAGAAAATAAATTATTCTTGTTTTAATCACCCACTTTCTGGTAAGTTTTTACGGCAGCCATAGGAAACAAATACACTCATTAAGTTGATTCTTTCTCAAATTGATAAAAAAAATGTGTTTTTCTTTTAGCTTTTGGTTTCCTATGTGTAAATATCAATAATGGATCCATATAAAACCTTAAAACATAATCTGGACAGATATAATAGAATTTATATCAAACTCCAAACCAAGTTCAAATTTTCAGGTTTCATAAACCTAGGGAAAGTTATATACAATACTAATTTGCTCTTTTTACAGATTTTCAAGTATCCAAAGCCATGTATTTCAATTAATACATTAAATTATTTAGATGAGATTCTAAAAAATGCATAATCTGTTGTTATTTACTACTGAATTTTGAATGTATGACCCTTCCATGATCTTTTGTATCTACTCTTCCTTAACAATAAAAACAACAGATTTCCATACGGTGTTGGGGAATACAAGAAACCAGTTATATGTTAGTACTTATTTCTTATTTTTATGATTGTACATTTTTGAGACATACACCTCTTTGAGAAGCTGATAAAAGCTTTTTCCAGTCCAAAAAAATTACATACAAATTTTTTACATAGAAAAATTTGTGTGCTGTATCAAAGAGATCACAGACGCCTTGAAATTCATCTATAGCTCCTCTAATGGTTCAAAGACTCTCAGGTTAAGAACATTCAGGCAACTGTGAAGAGAGTTGATAGATGTTGCATAGCTTTTGGTATCATATACACTATTCAGATAACTACCAATGTTTTTTCAAGTCCTAAAATTATTTTGCCTAAAACAAGATTTGTAATGATATTAACAACGGGGCTCACTTTAGCAGCACATATACTACAGGGGAATATTAATAAATACATTCAAAGTGTCACTAAATCATTTTCTTTAGAATATGAGGTTTTAAAGCATTATATCCATGTGTGTGAATTTATTACCCCTTTCAAACAAATATTTCCAAAGGAAATTTTATAGTGGAAGCACAGAAGAAGGGGGATTCAATACAGAGAAATCTGATTCACAACAAATAATCATGAATACAGGAACTCCAAAAGTTAAGTGTACCTAGTAAGGGAAAATGTTCCCAATGAACTTGAATAAATACCTCATCTGTCATTAGGGTTGCAATTGATCTGCCAATCTCATGGTACTGTTGACCCTTTCCCAGGGGTCCCAGAAGAATGAACAAAAATCTGTAATTAAGAAGAAGAAAAAAAAAAACAAAAAGTTTCATGGTAGAAATATAAAAAATAACTTCAGTAGTTACAGAATCACTCAGCTCAAGGGAATTATTTAAGATGAGGACTTCAATGTAAAATACTTACATATTTTTCACAGTTTATTACTATTTTAAAGCATTTTATAATGATTGACTTTTATACTTAAGATCCTTGAACAAAGGGAATCCATGGTTATTTTGATCTCAGTGTTTTCCCATTTAATTACTTGTAGAGCCTACATGGTAGTTAGTGAGAATTTTATAATCTTTATTATAATCCTTAGAGGAGGAAGGTGAGAAAAGTAAAATATGATTAAACTTTTCTGAATTATAAGGAAGAACTCACTAATATGCAAATTATAGAATGAGGTAAAGAGGAAAAAAGTAATATAGTATTATAAACAAAGAAAGAACATATGGTCAAAAATAGTAGATATATGTTAAATTTACATTAAATAAAAAATTTTTGTCAGGAATCAAAGATCAGTTAGGAAGAAAAAAATAGGGAGTTAATGATTTATTAATTCCAATTTTGGAGGAATAAAAATACTGACTGCATTGTGGTATTCTATCTAAATCAGACTGAAAGCCTAGCAAAGTCATCAGCACAACTGGAGCTTCTGAAGAAATTGGTACATGCTCTAATTTTAGAGGACTGGTAATTATCTCTGAAAAGAGATGCTTTCAATGCTAGAGTGAAATTGTGAAAATTTTAAAATGCCATATATTCTGCAATATAATTCAATGGTATTCATTTGTTAAATGGTTTATACTCTTAAATGTGAAGACTAATAGCTTTATAAGGTGTAAGTAAAACAGATACTATAACCCTACCCTTCATTTAGTTACAAACTTTAGTGATTACGCACGTTTTTACATAAAGCATATATTATAGTCTTAGAGAGTCTGACATTAATTTTTTGTGTCAGCTGTACTTGAATCCAAGTCAATTTCTACTACACAGAAATGTCCACTATAAATTTAAAACAGAAATAGCTTAATGTGGTGGCAGGTGCTTTATCAACTATAATACTTTCAAGAAATTTTGTAACCTATGTACATCTTGCCATTTTTCAGGCTTCTACTCCATGAGCTATTTATAAAGTCCTAAAAATTTATTCTCTGACATTTTTACTATGTGTTGCTATTATATTCATGGTGTGCCCTTTTGTCCTCCTAAGAGAGAATAATTAGGAACCTCGAACAGCTTTCTTTATTCTATTGGTCTAACTAATCTTCTTCCATTTTTCACCTTTCCAAACTAAATAGTCTAGTCTTTTTAATCTCTCCTTATACAGTGGCTCTCCTGTGCCCCTAATTTCTCCTCCATTGTTCTCTACACATATTTTGCTATGTCAGTATGAAATGAGGTCACCTAAACCTTGACAGTTTTCAAAGTGAGGGTATATAACCCCATTAAGGCTTTTCTCTACTCCTGGGAATTTTTCTTTTCTTTCTTTTGAAATACAGGAACTATCCTTGTCATAAAGAGCCATCATTGAAGCAGAATTTCATCAGACACCTTCCTATAAATGGTGGAACGGGAATGCGCTGCTTGGTAGACTGAAAAGGAATTTTAAACTACTAAAATAATACCTCTACAATTAGTAAGTTTGACATCTTAAATCTGAAGTCCAAATTCCCAGAAACTCTGAATAGGTTACAAGTTGTATACAGAAAAATGCAGTCTAATCATACTCAGATGTCATTTTAATGTGCTCAGGTCATCGTCACTCTTTTTAATAAAAGTTGGCATGTGTCAGAACTCTCAGTAGCCCTCCAACAGGATGAACAGACACTTCTTTCTATAACCTGAGTGATAACCAGGTTCCTGCTTCAAATCTGTTCCTGTCACAGATTCAGGGATAGGTACTTTTGGGGGGTGGTGAGGGCAGAGGGTGGGAGAGAATCTTAAGCAGATTGCACACCCAGTGCAGAGCCTGACATCCAGGGTTCAGTCTCACAACCCTGAGATTATGACCTGAGCAGAAATCAGAAGTTGATCGCTTAAGCAACTAAGCTACCCATGTGCAGCCAAGGATAGGTACTTGAACACCAAATCCCATACTAGTCAGCTGAGGTCTTATGAAATGAGGCCTCTCCTGGCTAAACTGTTCCATATTTTTGGAATATCTTATCCATAATCAAAGCACAGAGTGATATAATCTGCTGTGCTTTTAGTTAAGGCCAAAGGTCCATAGAGGAAACATATTTTACAAACCCAGTACCATAGCACCTGAACTTTTCGTCATTTTAAATTGGCTGAGGCATTCAGTGTTTGGAAGAGGAGACATACTAAGAGCATCTGAAACAGTTCTAGTGTCAATCAAAGGGCACCCAACATGGGAGAAATGGAGCCCTCCCTAAGTATGTTTTGCTACGGGAATACAAATGGAGTGAAAGGCTATGTGTATATAGAAATCCCATTCGATAGAGAGAAAAAGGAAGAAAGCAAGGTCCCCTGGATGAACTGCTAGGAACCTAACATGCTGAAGTCAATAGTCTTCTTTTTCTTCACAGTTTTGCCCTTGGAAATATATTTTATGTATAAAATAGAAATAAGTGATAAACAATGTAATTCAGTTTGTGTTATCCCTAAGTTGTTAGTTTTTATGTATAGTTAAATGAAAAATAAGTTTAGGTAATCAAATTAAATTTGTACTTTTGATTTGAATTCAACCACAGTATGACAAATCTACTACCAGTGATTTTTCAGACTCTGTGTATGGGAAGCATGCTGTGCCTGAGATGGAAATACATGGTACATTAGATAGGCATCTCCTAAGGTTGGTACTTACATGTATTCAGAAGGCCTACTCAGTCAAGCATAAGCTAAGCCTTCAAAACCTTTACCTTTTTGAGTCTGACCACCCTCATCTGCTGGATCCTCTTTTTAGCCCATAGTCTAATGCAATCTTTGAGGCAAACCTAACACTTTATCCTTTTCACCAACATTATAAGAAAGGATTTATATGGCAATATAGAGCAGGGTATTCAGAGTTGAGGAGCAAGCCTGAAAGAAAACATTGGAGTTTGAGATGAGGGAGGAAAGGACCGAATAATTTTTAAAATACTTTTTCTCCTCTTCCACAAACAAGAAGAAACAATTTTGTGAATGACACATTAGTTTCTAGAAAAAACTTTCAGAGGAAATTATATTTACTTCTTGTTTTTTTGTTTTGTTTTGTTTTGTTTTGCTTTTTGGGGGAGGAGTTACCCAAAAAATGGTTTAAGAAAAATGCAAAAGATGCTCTGATAATTTTTACCTGGTTGGAATTGGGACTTCAGCCAGTCCTTGAAGCAGCACAGCAGGAGACAACCTGACAAACGCAACTACAGTCCGATCCAAGAACTCCAACTCCCCGACTAGGATGTTTGAAGCCTCAGCACCTGGGGGAATCTTTTTCATAAAATGCAGATCAACCTGAGAGCATCACAAAGTAAAATAAGGTAAATCAAAATTTGCTAAATCATATCCTAACACAGTGCTTCACACATGGTAATCCATCAATAAATGTAGGTAAAATAAATATAGCTTATATAAATATAATGTAAATAAAGTTTTAAGATAGTTAACCATCTCATTTGCCCTTTAAAAATAGTAACTATTTTTTACTTGTATATTTTTCTATGTTCTCATAAATAAGCTGAATACTCTAGTTTTTCTATTTTGTGTCTTTAAAAGACACTTCTTTGGCATCAGCAATCTTGAAATTCTCAGGGAGAAAAACTTATGTGCTCAAGTAAATGAATTACTTTAATCATAATTTAATTAGTATTCGCCAATAAATTTAGATATTTTATGCTACGTTATCTTAATTTTGTGCACATTTCAATTAATACTCAAAATATGCCTATTTCAAAAGAAATGTAACCATGTTTCCCCTTACAGTATAAATTATGACTTTAGTCTCCATCTTTCTTCTAGTTTTTCTATATCCTTCACATTCTATACTTGGCCTGATCATTCTTCAATTTCAATTTCTCATCAGAAATTAGAATTTAGATATAGCAGAGTAAAGAAAACAATAAAGGTATTAACATTTGAAGTTGCTGAAGAGCCATAGTTAAATTTCTGATATGAGATGTCTGTGATGGAAATGAATGCACACAAAACAAAAGCGATCATTAACAAGAAGAAATGCTGAAAAGGTGAATTCTGGAAAATGATTGTAAAACATTCTTAAGAGTAAATATCGATTTTTATGCACAGGGCCTCAGTAAAAACCAAATAGTGACTCTATAGTCAATTTCACAAGGCTTATTTCTTGTTTCTAATTCATTTGAGTTGCTTTTTATGGGTATCTGTAGGGAGAATAAGAGTTTATCTGCTATAGTAATTGGTTTTATGCTCTCATGTTAATGAAATGGGGGCCGAAGGTCAAAGTCGGGATAGCCAAGGGAGAGAGAAAAGAGCTCTGGTAAATATAGGTGAGGTTAAGAAGATTTTTTTCTTTTGCAAATTTAATGATTTGAGATTTTTTCCAAGAAGTTTAAAATGAAAAAAATTACAACTTTTAGAATGAGTACCTTAGGAAGTCCATAGCCAGACTGTAGTGACTACATTAAATATGTTACTTTCGGAAATCAAGACCTCAGCATAGCTAGTTAGAAGGTTTATAACTACCTAATTTTTCTATAAGATAAGGGTGCCATAAAACATAAATCCTATTATATGAAATACACATTCTATCACAAGGATTAAACATAAAAATAATCTGCAGTACTCCACTAAAAACATTAAATAGAACCAAGGTTTTATTTTAAAGGAAAAAAAATGATTTAACAAAACAAAACTGCCTATAAAATTTATGACAAATATTATAAATTCTAAAGTTTTTATTCTACAAAAATACTTCCAAATATAAATTTGTAAACTCATAAAACATATACATTGGGATATTACATGGTAAATATTTTCCTTTTATGGAATCTAACTTTTTAATTTATAGATACAAAGTATTTATTTACCTTAATAATAGAAGGTTAAATTTCATGGGAATTATTATCATATTTTCATTTTTATTTTTGTAGCTAGAAGAAATGCACACATTGAAAATGCTTTAAATTAGTAATGTTTTACAATTTTACAATAATGCATAAATTTTCAAGAAGAGAATAAAAGATTACCTATATACTATTAGTCCTGTGAGAAAAGCATAATATATCTTCATAAGTCTTTTAGGGTCTTTTTCCCCCCAATGGAAATAACAATTATACAATGTTAATACACTGGAACAAAATTTAAAGTGAGAAAGCAGCTTTTTGAGAAAATTTATAATTGATAAATATGAATTATATTGGTAATACCTGTCATAACTTTACTGAGAAATTTAAATTCTACCCAAAAAACTCTCTATAAACTCATTTACTGCTTGACAAATGCTGTAGCCTCAACTACTGAAGTCTGTGCCTCAGTCTGGTGGCAATCATAAAAATAAATGCTTTAAGAGGCCATTTAATTAAATCAAGGAATACATAGTGTGCTAAAATAGTCTAATTTTACAAAAGTAAATATATGATCCTAGCATTTGAATTTCTTTTTGCATTACATAATACCTAATATATCATCAATTTATATCTGTTATTTAGAAAAAGCATAATTTCAGGTTTAGCAAATTTGTCTTTTGATTTAAAATGTAATAATTTATAGTTAAATAATATACATATGGAATAGCCATTATATTATACTCATTACATTATATTATTCTTGGGGTAGTCATATATTTGGGAGTAATAGATTATATAATACATTATCTAATTATATTATTTATTATACAATTATATGTTATATTGTTCTTGCATTAGCCCTATATTTTTGTATTTGTGCTAATATATTATTCAGAAGAACCCTGACAATCTAACTACCTTTTAATATAACAAAAGATCATATTTAAGAACCACAATTTAACCTTTTATAAAATTACAAATACTTAAAACTGCTCTGAAGAACTAGGCTAAATTATACCTCTAAGACAATCCTTATGTGGACTCGAGCAGTTGGAATGAACATAAAGAAACCAGAATTTTCTGGTTCTCTGAAGAGGAACTTGAAGAAATCAAGGTATATACTCTTATGAATATGGATTCACACTCATGCTTCTGGGTTCTCTAGACCTTTAAGCTAAGAAGAGAAAGAAGCTTTATTCTGGGCATTTGGTACTTAAGCTGCAGGTGAGAAACAGATACATCTCTAGGGAACAAGGTTAGACAGAAGATCATGGCAGAGCAAGAAGTGTCTGGACAAGCCACATGCTGAGATGTGAAGGAAGCAGTGATGGGACTTTAGGGAGAAAGTTTAAGTCTTAAGCCCATTATAGAAAGTACAAGAAAATTAATAGGGATTCTCTGGGGAGAAATGGTGTTGTGACACTAACCAGCCAGTGATCTTGAGCAGCTCTCTTACTCTCTCTGGGACTCAGCTTTCTCACTTCCTAAATGAGATTTCTAAGGTTTCCTATAGTTCAAGGATTTAAAAATCCACTCATTGTAATATGTTTCACATACTAAAGATAGATGCGAAAGAAAGTTCCTTCTACATAGAAAATAACGTGAAGTCTTCTTTGGGTCACTTGAAATAAGAGAAACACCACCAACATCTGGGAAATACTAAAATAGCCATCTTCTACATGGCAGTTTAAAAAACAAAAAGATATAGAGTGTTTTGACACCTTTGCTTTTTAAAAGCATTATGGGAAGCAAAAACCTGACAACTCAGATTATATTCAAAAACATTCCTCAAATTAATAGATTTGATGAGCTTATCCATTGGAAGCGTTAAAAATATGTAGATTAAAGGTACCTAGGATACAGTATTAAGTCACATGAAATGAATAAAGACTTTTTTCCCCCTTAACATCTCAAAATTCTACTCGGGTTTGGAATCTAAATATTAAAGCTTAAATATTAACATAGCCAAAGTAACCTGGAGACTAGCTGAGCTTTCATAAATTCACTACCAAACTGAAATCATCAGAGCTAAAATCCCTTAACTCATGTATCTGTAAAATCTGGCACTAAATTTGTCTCCATCTTGATGGATCACATTTGTTCTTTTCAAACCCTATTACCCTGCCCTCCCAGGTCATCAGGTAAGAAGTATTACTTGGAAAAAAGTTCCAGAACTAAAGGTTTAAATTACATTAAATCTCATAGGATTCATTCAACAAATACATCCCAAGCACCATTCAAGGCACTAGACATCCAGGGGAGACCAAAACATATTAAATTCTGGTCTAGTATTTATTTTTGATACTATTTCCACTAATATTAGCAACAATGACAATAATAATAACCACTTCTTATTGAATATCTGCTATATGCTCAGGACTCTGCCAGGCTCTCTCTCTCTATTACCTCATTTAATCTTTACAACAAAATTAGAAATAGGTAATTGTTGTTAGTTACATATGAGAAACCTGAGGTGCAGAGAACTTCTCCAAGATCAAATAGCTTATAAATGCTAGAGTTAGGATTCAAGATCTGACATTCTTTCTCAAAAGCCATGTTCTTTCCAATGTGCCGTGATATGGACAAGAGACTGGGGAATAGAGATGGTGGGCACCGAGTAGAGGACTAAAGAAATGTCACTTGCCTGTTAAAAGATGAAATGGACCAGTGATTGGAACTGCAGTAAGGAAGACAAGGATTAAAGGAAAGATATATATTTTTCTCTCTTCTGTAGTTCTAATTGTTTGGGGGGACCTGAAGATAAGAATACTCTCCCCGATTGACAGTATTCATTTTCTTTCAGTTATAATAAAGCATTTGTGAAGGCTGCAAAGGTAGGTCAGACAACTAAAAGCAAAATGATATGGAGAGGGGCGCCTGGGTGGCTCAGTCGGTTAAGCGGCTGCCTTCAGCTCAGGTCATGATCCCGGGGTCCTGGGATCGAGCCCCGCATCGGGCCCCCTGCTCCGCGGGAAGCCTGCTTCTCCCTCTCCCACTCCCCCTGCTTGTGTTCCTGCTCTCACTCTCTCTCTCTCTCTGTCAAATAAATAAATAAAATCTTAAAAAAAATGATATGGAGATATAAAATTCAGTGTCAAGGGGTTCTATCTTTTAAAAAAGTTAAAAGGTAGTTTATTTCAAAGGATGTGATGCATTTATCATTGTTTTTGAGTGTTAAATGTGCCCTTGTTATACTGTTAGTGCCTGCATAAATAAGCAACTTTTTATGTCATTGTTTTTAAGATATTGTTTCAAATGAAGAATTTCAGAAATTAAATGTATGGCAGCTTGTGACAATTTTATTCCAACTTGCAGATGAATGAAGATGTAATGCTTTAAAAAGATATGTTTTTTTTTGGAGCGGCAAATGGAATAATACATTTGAACTGGCTTAATATTTGAATCACATGCCTCCATATGGTGAAATGAGCTTTGAACCACTGTAGAAAGACAGCCCAAGTATGCCCTCACCTCTCTCTCTTGCTGGTGTGGAGGTCCTTTTTCATGCCTTTGTTTCATCCCACAGGGACTAGTATGCCCCTTTTGCTGGCCTCCCAGTCCCTGCACGCATAATTAACAGACTTAAGCTGGTACACCGTGCTCCCACGGAGACTCCACCAGGCACCAGAGGAATAACATGCACATGACTAGACCTAGACCATTTAGGCACTGGCAGAGGCATTCTGAAACAGCAACAAGGAGCTGATCGCCATTAATCTTCAGAAGCTCGATGCAGGCAACTTCTACTCTGCCTCCCATTTCCACCTCCTCCCACTGTTACAGTCATTGCCAGTCCTAAGTGCTTTCAAGGGGGAAAAAAAATTACTCTTGGTTACTACTGTTTCAGCCACTCAGATAAAGAGAATTGTTGACCCTCTTTATTTTTCATCAATATGGAAACTCCTCTTTCCTGGTCAAGTGTTAGTTTGCCATAGCCTACGACAGCACATATACACTGTCAGGAATTTGCTAACCAAAGTCACATGTATTCTATTTTCTTAGAACATGTTCAAGTAAATGATCTCATTTGAATTGTCTCCATTTAGATGTATCCCTCAACAGAATCAGTTGTTATTATATTTTTATTCAAAACTCTGTTCAGTCTTATCAGGTCTAGTGTTTCCTTACACTAAGGCCTTCCCCGATTATGACAATTAAGTTTATATCATATGGTTTGTTTTTCCACAGATAGAAGAAAAATGATTTTGGGAAAAAAAACTAGCAATAGTTTTAAACAATAACCTTCTGTTAAATTTTCTGTAAAGTCCAGCTATCCTGTTTTTCTCGAAGAGATACATTATACCAAGTGGCTGAAACCTGAAGACTATACATAAATCTTACACATTTGGTTTTGTGAATAAGCAAAACAGGTGAACTTAAATGCTAACGTCATATATAACAGTATCAAGCTTTGGCTAAGAAACAAAAAAAAGTGCATGCAAAAAGTTGTGTCAACACCTCTTAAAATGGGTAGTAATTTCTAGTAATAACTCAGTGGCTTACTTAAATGAGAGAGAAAAGCTTACCTTGCTAAAGTCAACAGTGCTGTTTTCTCTGCTCACATCATTTTTATTTTCAACACAGGCTGGAGCAGACTGAGGAGAAACAACCTGACCTGCTAAAAGAAATTGTTATTACAGAATACAAACAATTACTTACATAATTCTAGACAGATTGAGTGAAATATGAATTAATCTAGGCTAACATAGGTTTCTTAATGAGTTTATGAGGTAAGCATGAAGGGTCAATATAAATAGATCGATATCAAAACAAATACTCTTATTTGTCAGTTACAGATAGAAATGGGAGAATTCAGTCAAGGAAAAAAAAAGCCAGTCCTCAGATTAAAACTCCATAGCTAAGTGGTTATTCTCTATGAAGAAGATCATCTACAAAATATTTAAATCTAATCATGGTTTTGAAACACCATTGATTTCTAAATTTCATCCAAAACTAATGATATATATGTATGACATATATATATATGACAAGATCTATGATTTAAGCTCAACCTGAAGAATTAAAAATGTACTTTTTTAAAAGGGCAAATATTTATCTGAATATTCAGATATATCTGAATACATACCATATTTATAGCTTCTATTGCATCTGAAGAAAACAGACAATGACAAAAAATCCTTTGACAAAAACTTCTAGAGATTTCTATATGACAGGGGCAGTTAGAAATACCTTTCCCTTACACAGTACAGACCCTGTGAATATGATTTTATCCTTCTTACTCTTCAATTATGTAAGTATATTGATATTGCCCTGCATGAGAAAAGACCAATAAACTTGAATTGCATTAGTTTTCCATTAACACTAACCAGCAACTTAATTACTTTGTAGTCTTTTCCCCATTATAGCGAAGATTATGATATTAGTTAAATGGACAGTAGAGGTGGGGATGTGACAATGGGTAGTTAAACTCCACTATTCACGAAATACGAAACATCTTTTTCAATCACAGCTTATCAGAAATCTGTCCATATTCAGCAATTAAGTGATAAAAATTAACAAGCTCTGCTTACTTTTACTTGCATCTTTCTTTTTCCCTAACCTCCCACTTACTACTTTTGCTGTGAAATGAGTAATGGCAACCCAGCTTTGAAGCCTTGACCATATTTATGACCATAACTCAGTGACTCCAAATTACTGCTCTTATTTGCCTCAGCCTTAGACAGAAATACTCTCTCCTCTCTCTGCCTGCTTCTTCTCTGTACCCTACCTAAATCCCAATTTTATTCAAAGTTCACCTTTAGTCTCATCTTCTCCACTCACTAGAATCTGTACTTATCCGACCTTCTCTAAACTATTAGTGTATATACAAATAGAACCTTTTCTTTAAATTCTCTCCTGAAATCCCACTTATTCTTTGTTACCTAGAAATTACCAAGTATGACTTAAAATACTAATAATTTGCTTTCAAATATTAACTATAATTTTGCTGTTGGAATGATTAAGCCTCTCAGGCAGGGGTTGTTTATTCATAAGTACAATTTTGTTATGTTTTTAAATTGTTATATTGCCAGAAAGTAATGGATTTTAGATTCTTCCAAAACTTCAATGTTTCTCTGCTTTCACTACACAAAGTAAAATAATACATTTGGTGAAGATTTAAAAATGAATTTTTATTTTTTTATTTTTATTTTTTATTATTATTATGTTCAATTAGCCAGCATATTGAAAATGAATTTTTAAAGCAAATTTACCTCCAACCATGTGCACAAATTCTGATTATATCATATTCCAAGACATACATGAGCTTCAGAGAAATGATAGACGTAAACTGCATCAGTTATTTTCATTCTCCCATTTCTAACCACCATGTGCGGCTATGACTGTGAACTGTTCATTAGCAGCCATTTCATTTATCATTCTCAAAATAATAACTGTAATTTTAAAAAAACCTTTTACATAATGCATTTGCGCTACTAACAGATGTCTTCAATCACCAGTTTCACATCATTTCTCCATATTTTCATGAATTAGAACATTAGATATATTTAAACCTAAATTTACTGAATGTTCCGTAAAATTGAGTGGTGAAATTCAAGGCGTGGAAAAATTAAATAAACATATATTGGCTTTCTTATAATAATTTATTTCATGTTATATAAACCTACATGGAGGGACAATTATTTAATTTGATCAGCAAATACATACAAAAAGAGAATCAACCCAATGCAAAATCAATCACTTTGAAGAGATTTAATTGGATAGAAAATATGCCATGACTCAAAATCTGAAGAAATTGCATAGCCTGTGTTTTCATATATATACTTTAAAAGCAGAATATGTTATAAATTACCTTCAGCTCATGTGCTATCTTTAAAACATTGGCATTTGCATTTCCTCTTGTAAATATTAACACTTTGAGATTTATTGTTCTATTCTATTCTTGTTCTAAGATGATGAAAATATTACAAAATATTACCTCATAAAGGTGATAATCAGGAAGAGATTTGAAATCTATCTCTATGAATATTTTAAGCGATATGAATAAGGACCTAGTGGAGAGTACTTAACTAGCAGAAGACATAGGAGGTGATAGGAAATTTCTTGCAAGTTCTAAATTCTAGAGATGCGAATAGAATGTATGCTAATATAAGAGAAAGGGATTCAAACTATCAACCTATGCTATAGAAATATAAGCCACAAATTTGATATGTTTTATATTTCAGAGGTAATAGTTAAATAATAGAGGTAATTATTAGTAATAAATACATTTAATCACATCAGTCCTACAGAGTTTAAAGAGAACTCCAAATTTTATTTCTTAATATGTACATTAACTTGTTAAAATGAAACAATAGGCATTGAATGTTTGTATCTTCAAGGTAGTTTCTGAAAACTTAGCAGGATGCAGAAAAATACATAGATATTATTATTTAATAATTAAACTGACAAGCTTGGTTTGGGTTATTTTGAAAAAATAGAAGTCTTTAAGGGGCTTAAAATTGTATTTGTTATATATCTAGTTCTATCTAATATATTAATATATATATATAACTAAATCATGAAGTGTAGTCTGTTGGATGACCAAAAATTCCATAAATTAAAATAAATTTTATGACTTTGTCTTTGTAAACTGATCTCTTTAGTTTTTTCCAAAAATTACTGCCTTTCAGAAGGGGATGGGCTTGGATTTCAAAACAACTTTATTAACTTAAATACTATTATATAAGAAGAATCAGTAAATACAGATTTTGAAAGGGCATCCCTTATTTTCTCTCTGATGTTTAAAACAATAGTAATTCATGGAATGCCAATTTTCAGGTATAGGATTTTACCTTCAACCAAAAGTGAGAGTATTTTTTCTAATAGAATAACAAAGAATTTGTTAGGATATTTTTCCCCAGGAGAAAATGGTAGGATTTAGCATTCACATATATGTGTGGAAGCTTTATGAATGCTAATTTTCATGATACTCTTTCTAATCATGATGCCACAATGCTTTTGAACTTACATATTTTTATCTACTTCTTTATATTACCTTCATTTTACCCACTGATCACTGTCCATATTAATATATCCTATAAATAAATGTCATTGCAATGTTTAATCACATCTGTCATTATAATATCTAAATAATTTTGAGGCATGAAGATGACTACCCAAAAAAGAGAGAGAGAAAGAGAGAGACATTTATTAACTCAGCAGCCTAATTATATTAAGAGTAAATTATTCAAAAACAAATGAAAAGTGGACACCATTAGTATTAACTGGGAGATGGTCACGACTATTTAAATGTAAACATTAAAGAAACCTAACATCATCCTACATATGTTTAGTTTTCCAGGCTTTTATAAATTTATTTATTTATTTTTTAAGTGGTCTCTATACCCAACATGGGGTTTGAACTCATGACCCCAAGGACAAGAGTCACATGCTTTACCAACTCAACCAGCCAGGCACCCCTATTTTTCCAGGCTTTTAAACTCAACTAGTTCACCATCTTAAATCCAAAACTCTAATATTTGTCATACATCTTATTAATCAAAGTGCATATTATGTAGTATTCATATTAGCAACTGCTTGAATTAATTTTCCTTTGAGTCATGAATTCATTTTTTCCTCTGGACTTCCATGAGGGAGCATATATCAGTCAGATAAAAAAGTTATTATAGACCACGTATTTTTCCAAAGCAAATTATAAAATATGTGGGGCAAGCATAGGAGAAAACTGAGAGTAATTTAAGTAACTGCTAATTAGAAATGAAAGCTCTGCCATTCTACTTGTTACTTCATAAATTTTTCATTAAGTCCATTATGAGACTGGCATAGTCATTTTCCTCTTCATAAAGTTGTGGGGAGGGAACATGAAATTATGTCAAAAGTATTATTTTTTTATTTTAAGTAATGTCAGTATCATTAAAGCATCTCGTTATGGAAACACAAGTGTAAAATATGTTCTCAAAATATCTGTAAAGTATCATATTAACTCATTTAAGCCCTTACCTATAGTTTTCTTCTTCTTTAAATAAATTATGTACATAAGTATTGTATAAAACAGCAGCTTTTTAACTTCTATTTGGCCAAATTCAAATCAATAGGAGAATAACATATCACTTAAGAATAGCATTATTTGCTACTGCTTAATCTGCTGAAACTCATGTATATTGAAGGAAACTGGGATGAAGACATAAAGGTACGTTACTATTAACCTTGAGACCAAGCTGATTTACACTACCTCAGAAACCTTCAACGCATTTAGAGTACCCAAAGGGTAGGAGATGAGGGAGGTACAGAGATGAGATGAGCCTGTTAGAGACAGACACAAGACAGAGCAAAATAAAGAAATATAAAGATGAATGACAAAGTACATACATGTGTAACAATACATTTATTCATGGGAATAGAAAACATGAAGAAAGAAAGGCTAAATATTTAGAAAATGTTGATTAGGTGAGCTACATTTCAAAAACATAAAAAGTATGCACATAATTAAACTTGGAGAAAAATTAGTATGCCTGACAATAATTAATGTAATATAAGAAATAACAAATTTAAACACATCATATTAGACCTACTTTTGCTGTTAATATCTAGTCTTGATATTCCAAAACTCAGTTACAACAATATAGCCTCTGAACAGAACGTCAGTTTTGTTAACAAGTCACCTTGATTTTTTTTTGGAGCAATGGAAAATACCTTTATTGAATAACAATGTTTACTTCTGACATCTATATGAATCTTTTAACATGTTTTCTTTCAAGTAATTCTTGAAATTAAAAATTCAAGAAATTCAAGACATAATTCTAGGTGTTTTTTCTTCAAAGGTAAAACATTATGTGGAATAATTTTTTAACTCTTTGTTATTTATGAGACCAGAGTATTTAAAAAACATGAAAGCATATAAATATCTCAACACATAAAAACATTATACATCTGAAAATAAAAAGTACAGCATTTGTAAAAGAAGTGATTATAAAGCAATAAAACTGATTTCCAAAAGCCATAAATAAAAATCATTCACAATACACATGTGTACATTATTTTAAGGGCTGGAATCTACGCAGGCCTACAGAATCAACTCATATCCAATCCTTCCAAATCTAAATGTGCTCCAGTAACCTATGGTTTTGAAAGTAAGTTAGAGACCTTCTGCTCTGTAACTCCTTTTGTGATCCTAAATAAAAGATGCAACTGGAAAATATTCATAACAGAGGGAGAAAAAATATGTGAAGGAAAAGAAATAGAGTTAGAATTATTAGTGGAATACAGTGGAATGAGAATAACCTACACCTAAGCAAACACATGAGTGTTAAATTATTTTTAAAACATAAAAGTATTATCAGTAGGTTAATAATATTTTATATTAGATTTGTAATCCAATGTTCAATTCAATTCAAAACATAATTGAATGCATGACCTAAATGATAAATACAAATATTGATATATTTACTTTTCAGATCATTTAAACACAAGTGTTATTTTTATTTTTAGAAAGTCCTTCTAGTTTCAAGGAATTACTGACTATTCTTGATATATTTATTCTGAGTACTTCCTACCCATATCTTTTTCAGAGTTTTAATGTTAAAGAAGATATTATTTTTCTATTATTTTTTTGCTGTTGTTTTGCCAAATGTAACTGTCACTTTTTATTGAAACATCAGAATCAGACATTTAATTCTCACAGTTTTGATGCTTAATGAAAAGTGAAAGTTAAACACAGCATGGCGGCATTCAAATGCACGGTGAATCCATAGCATCCTGCAACTTAGCCCTTAAGAGAATGTGCAAAACACCAAAAAAAAAGAATTATACAAAAAAGTAAAGCTAACGTATTTAGAGGTAAGACTGACAAATTATCACAAATCACTAAAAAAGTTTTGAACAAAATAATGCAAACTTGGGGAGGAAAGGAGCAAGGAAATCACTATCTTGCATATCAAATCTATAAAATGGGGAAGATCCACATTTGAGACTCAGAGTGAAATATCTGAATTTAATTAACTCTTGGAATTACTACCAAGGTAATAATGCTCAAGGAAAAGTCAATTAAGGAAGTAGAAACCTTATTCTCTTTTTTAGACTTCTTTATATAAATATCAGTTCATTTTTGAGGGAATTTCCTCAAAATTGCCTCAAAAGTGAAAGTATATTAAAAACAAGAGGGGGCTTATTTCTATCCCTATGCTGGGGAAGGAAAATATTTTCTGTTTTCAAGTTTCTAGAAAATCCTCATTCCATTTAATTCCTATTCTAGAATCTTAGAAGAAAAAAGTCAATCTTTTTGCATGAAATACTCTGCTGAAGAGTTTTTTTTTTAACAATGAGAATATTATTTTCACCCTTTTGGATTTCTTAAAATCCTTCTGCATCTCTCTGTACTACTGTACACAAAAAATAAATCTCCATTGCATATTTTGAAACAATGTCAAATCTATATTTATGGCTATGAATTTCGATTTGTTTGTTTATCTGGAATTTGTCAGTTTTTAGCGTTCCTAAGTAGATTGAGAACCTTAGTAATAAAGGTCTTTCACACTTTTTTTCACTTCTGGATAGGAGATTTATCTCTAAATTGGTGAAGTCTATACATATTTTCAGAATTCTCAACACACATAATTATGCAAAGTGTATGAAGAAGCAAAACAGAGTCACAAGGAGGTGTTATAAGCCTAGGCTTAGAAAACCATTTCTGACAGCATACTCTACAACAATACTTAATTGGGTATATGAATCTTATTAAAAATGTTTCCAAGTTTTTATTACCCTAATGTGTGCCTCAAAAAGATCTCTACATGTTTAGATAAAGGCTGATTAGACAGATGGTGACAGAATCACTTCAGAACTACTCACATTCTAGTTTTCAGAAAAACTAAGCATTTGCCTCAGTAAGGCAGAAAGTAGGCTTTCAGAAAACTTTGTATCTCTATGTATCTATACGTAGACTTGTGATTCAAGACTATATTTCTATCATTTCTTCTTATGTTTACCAGAAGTTTAAAGCAGTATCAAATACTGTGTCTAGGTCTACATGATATTTCAATAAATTAGTCATCCAGTAAATTCATTACTTTCTTCCCTCCATGAATAAAATGCAATAACGTTATTTTTATGGTAAACATTATTCCCATTGAAATTTGAAATATAAATTACAGCTAGTTCACAATCCACGAGCCTTGCATTTTTAAACAAACACAAATCCTTCTTAAAGACATATATTTTATTATATGATTTCTATTAAAAGTAATTAAATGAAAGCAGAATTTTTAAAAATGTGCTTGCATTCATAGAGAGTTAGTTCATAGAGATATTTTAATAAGGTCTCAGAATCATGTAGACAATGTCAAAATTAGTAAATATCTGAATCTGTTGTTTTAATATCATCATACCCAAATAAGTTCTAGTATTATAAGCATAATAAAAGTACTACATTTAGATTGTTTCAGAATATAAAACCTTCACTTTGTCATTTTTATGTATAACATATTTTAAAGCAAATTGTGATTTAGAATATATTTTGAATATATGATATGATTTAAAGCAAGTCATAAATTCTCAAAATCCTCAGTGGAATCTACAAATACAAGTTGGTATATGTTATAAAGTACTTAATTGAACTGACTACAGGTTTCCCTTGCTATACACAAAAGTAGTGTTCCTATGAAACCCTTCATAAGCCAAAATGGCACAAAGTGAAGAGTATCCCCCACTTTCTGGAAGTTTGCCTTATGCCACTTCACTTTTAAGACCTACAAGAGTACAGTAACAGCTTTTTTTGTAAAAGCAAAATCCTCTTTGGATTTCTTTTGGTTAATGAAAATAGGTACTAATGCAGGTCTTTCATAAAAGTGAAGTTGCATGGGGCACCTGGGTGGCTCAGTGGGTTAAGCGACCAGCTCAATTTCAGCTCAGGTCATGATCTCAAGGGCATGGGATTGAGCCCAGAATTGTCCTCCATGCTCAGAAGGGAGTTTGCTGGAGATTCTCTCTCTCCCTCTCCCTCTGCCCCTCCCCCCACATGCACACGTGCATACTCTCTCTCTCTCAAATAAATAAATCTTTAAAAAGAACCAAAGTGAAGTGGCATAACGTGAATTTTCAAAAAGCAGGGGATACCTGTGTATGCACAACTACAGACTGCTATATAATGGCAATGATTTAAAAAATCAAGTAAGTATTTCAAAAATCATTTGCCATTAAGAACTGGTTTCGTGCTCTGAAACAATAGCACATCTAATCATCTTCATTGATTTATTAAAGCATTTCTTCTATATGTATATATTTGGTTCAGTAGTAGGAGAATTGTTTTTAAAATCCCATTTAAAGCACAATGCAGAGAAAACTCATTTTCATGCGTTTGTATTTAAGGCATCACCACAGCTTTTGAAAGTAGGAGTGAAATGACATAAAATAGTCCATGCGGAAATATACATGCTTTAGTGCATTTGTGCAAGTCAGTCTTTCTAGTACAGCATTTGAAATTACTTTTCATTAATTTTTATCTTTTAAAATAGGGAATTTTTATAGCTGATGAAAGTTTAACAAATTCGTATCATCCTCACGATAATTTTATTTTCCTTCACAATACTAGTAGAAAGGATGGATCTAATGAGAGGTTCCTAAGCAACTTCTTTAGGGTAAATGATGAAGGTTCAAATAGATGCAAGGAGAGAACAAAATACAAAAGAATGATAAAACAGTCTGAAGCACAAGCCATAAAGAGTAAGTCACAATTGCTAAAAAACAGTGATTGGTGTGCAAAGATAGTAAGTACACCGTGGCTCCATGGACACTGAAGATGTAGCCCTGCAAACAGCAATGAGCTATGAACTGAACTCAGGCTTCACATATGTAGAGCCACAAGTAAGGCACTGGTTGGTCTTTTCAATCATAATCTCTCATGGAATTTGTTGACTATGAATAACATGAAATCAATATCTTTTTTCTACCAACAGTAATTGGTGATCTTTATTCATTTTAATTTTAAAAAGCCATAATTCAAAGCATTATATTACATTCTCAGGTTGTGGGATGAAGACTAGGACCTTGACTGGGATACAACTGATGCTCAGTTTATGTTTGTTGCATTTGAGTGTGTAACTTCTTATTAGATAAAAGTTTCCTTTGCATTCTTTCATGGGCATTTCAGGAAATTTAAATTCTTTGTTAAAATTTCTACAATTTGATGCTTGAAAATCAGTCTATATGCGTATAAAAAAGAAATAATTCTACTACAACAATCTGTATTTCAATAAATAATTTTCAAATAAAATATGTTTTAAAGAATTTAGAAGCACTTTGAAATTTCAGACGCTTATCATAAACACAAAGGTACAATAAAGAAACATTTACCATTTTTATCCATGGAATTTGGTTCTGATTGTTTCTTGCCAATATCAGCAAAGGAACGAACAATGGGAATTCTATTGGTGAGTTTTTTCTGATTTTGGTGGTGATGCTGTTTCATCAGTGCCTCATGAACCCTGTGGCGTACATCCTCATTGAGCTGACCTGAGCTCACTTGTTGGTCAAGGACCATATCTGAAGAAGGAAGGCAAGAAAAGATTAGCACAGTAGATTAGCATAGTATGCAAGCAGCAAACCACTGAGTCTAAACACACTACCCCAGATAATACGATTCATCTTAAAATAGAATGAATTCCTTTAAAAATCTCAAAAAGTTGTGACTTTTTGTTAAAATGTTGCACACAAAAAAAGACTTGGGAAAATTTTTACTATAAACCATTCAATTTTAAATACGTAATAATTTCATGAAGTATTATTTTTTAAATGGACATAGTTGCATTGAGAACAAGCACTTTATATTCTCAATTATTCACACTGATGGGAGGAAACAGTAACAGGGGTAATATCAATATAATTAGTATGTTTAAAATTGTAAAGTGATTTATACTTATATTTTAATGTTTTTTTTTCCCTTTTTCTAGCAGAAAATGATTTCCATGTTTCCTCTTTAAGTAAAAAGAAGTCCATCTGTAAAAATCTGATGCAGGGAGGCTTAGGCAGCTATCTAGTTGGTTGCATTTGGAGAGTAAACAACTCTTACATTGATATAAAGTCAGACCTCTCAAAACTTCCTTGAAAATGTATTTATATTAAAAAGGTCTTCTATAACCATAAGACAAAGGATAAAGGTGAGATTTCAGAAGGCTATAATTAAGCAGATTGATATTTACCATATGTAGTGTCAGAAATGCCTATAAAATAAGTAGATGAGTAAAGGAATTTTAAGTTTCTTGGTAATACAAAATCACTTCAATAAACCTCATTGTAGGGAGAAGGAGGGTAGATGGGGAAGTAGGAGGATCCTGAGCTTACCTGGTCCCACAGATACATCGAGGCAATAGCTACATTTACACAACTAACTCTGAAAATGACCTGAAGACTGGCAGAACAGACCTTCCATAGCCAGTCATAGAGAGAAGGCCACATACAAAAGGATAAGAATGGCAGAGACGTTGTTGGGAACCAAACCCTTGGCAGTATTGATCCCAAATAGGAGGGAAATCACAAACATGGAAATGCAAGAGATCAGACCCCACACCAGGCACTCCTGGCACTGAGGACCCACACTGGGAGGAGTAGTCCTCTTAACTTCTGCCTTTGAAAACCAGCATGGCTTAACCTTAGGAGCTTTAAAATTAACAGGCTTAACTCCAAGGGAGCCTGAGGGCAGTAAGGAACTTGAGTCCCCACTGCTAAAGAGACAGCATACTAAATAATTGAGCTGAAGACACAGCACAGAAGCAACACTTTGAAAAGTGCCTGGGGTATAGGTGAAGGAAACTTATTGACTAATCTTAGAAAGTATACCAGAGAAGCAGGGATCTACAGGAGATTTCTCTGAGAGCAAAAGTGCTGGCAGGTGCCATTTCTCTTCCTCTCCTCCAGCAGGACATTTGTGGGAGCCAACTCTCTATTCTCCATCTACCCTGCTAGCACTGTGTTCCCCACCTGAGCATTCTCATGTGGATCCACCTCACCCAACCCTCTTGCCTCTGCAGGCATCCCTCCGAAGCAGTTACTGATTGGACCTGACTCCAGAAGCAATGACAACAAAAGCAAAAATAAACAAATGGGACTCTATCAACCTAAAAAGCTTCTACACAGCAAAGGAAATCATCAACAAAATAAAAAGACACCCTCCCAAATGGTGGAAGATGTTTGCAAATCATAGATCTAATAAGGGGCCAATATCCAAAATACATAAAGAACTCATACAATTCAACACCAAAAAAATAAACAAACTGATTACAAAGGACCTGAATAGACATTTTTTAAAAAGAAGACTACAGGTAGCCAACAGACACAGGAAAAGATGTTTAACATCACTAATCATCAGGAGATGTAAATCAAAACCACAATGAGATATCTCCTTACACCTGACAAAATGGCTAGAATCAAAAAAGACAAGAAATAACCAGTGTTAGAGAGAATGTGGAGAAAAGGGAATGCTTGTGCACTGTTGGTGGGATTGTAGGTTGCTGCAACAACTGTGGAAAACAGTATGGAGGTTCCTCAAAAAATTAAAAATATAATTACCGTAAGATTCAGTAAGTCCACTAATGGGTATTTACCCAAAGAAAATGTAAACATTAATTTAAAAAGATAAATGCTGGGATGCCTGGGTGGCTCAGTCAGTTAAGCGTCTGTCTTTGGCTCAGGTCATGATCCCAGGGTCCTGGGATCGAATCCTGCATCGGGCTCCTTGCTCAGCGGGGAGCCTGCTTCTCCTGCCTGCCGCTCCCCCCACTTGTGTGCTCTCTCTCTCTCTGACAAATAAATAAAATCTTAAAAAAAAAAGATAAATGCTTCCCCAAGATTATTGCCACATAATTTAAAATAAGCAAGATATAGAAGCAATCCAAGTGTCCACTGATAGATGAATGGATAAAGATGTGGTACACACACACACACACACACACACATATGTATACACACATATATATATAATGGAATATTAGCAATAAAAAAGGAGAGCTTGACATTTGTGATAACATGGATGGACCTAGAGGATATTATGCTAAGGGAAATAAGTCAGACAAAGACAGATACCATATGATTTCACTTACATGTGAAATCTTAAAAACAAAAGAAATGAACAATATTTCCTTTTTTTAATTTTATTTTATTATGTTATATTAATCACCATATATTACACCATTAGTTTTTGATGTAGTGTTCCATGATTTATTGTTTGCGTAAAACAACGAGTGCTCCATTCAGTACGTGCCTTCTTTAATACCCATCACCAGGCTAACCCATCCCCCC